AAATACTCATTACTTCAAAAAAAAAAAAATTGTTCTCGATCGCCGTATTGAGGAAAAGTATTTTGAAATTTAAAATCTCATATTTTGACACCGAATGCCATTATTTAGTTTTAAATCTGATGCGGCGAAAAACAAAGTCGTGCTCTTTAATTCAAAAAATATTTTGATGGCCATAAATCATAAAAAACATTTTTTTATTCATAAATTAAATAAGTGTCGGTAAGCACTATAGAAATAAAACTTTTTCAAAATAACTTTTTGGAGATGGAACAGTTTTTTGTAGTGGGGTTTTTTCATATTATTTTAACGGTAATTTTGTTGTACCTGCAATTATTAAAAGTAACATAAAAATAATGAAACTTTTCTTCCTCAAATACTAATATATTTTAAAAAGAATCTATTCTGTGTAAATAAATGTCTTTTCCCCACGATATTTAGAACCGTTTAATTTTGAGTAACTCGACGAGTAAACAAGACGTAAATCTCGTAAGCTCGCAAGCTTAATAAAAAATAGATAATTTTTTTTGTACGACACTCAATTGAAAAGTGATTTTTTGAAAAATCAATAGACAGACCATTATCTATTCATCCTCACATTGTGATGTTCTGTTATTTTTATTTTCATTTCGATGATTTTGGAACAATAAATTATCATTTTTTTTTTTGTCTGCGTGTATTTTTTTTTTTTCTGGTACCCGATACCTTAAATAATAATATTGAATTTCTGATATAACCGTAAAATAAACAAATACTCTTTACCGTCGTCGGGTCGTCGTGATTTTCAAACCAACAACTCGATACACCTCTTGTTCCAATATATTTTATTTAATTCTCGTGTTACTATAAGCCGGTATAATAAGATCGGTCTGTCTATCTGTAACGGGTATCCTCATAAACTTAGAGCGTAAATTTTGCGTTTAAGTTGAAATTGAAGTTTAAGTAAAAATAACAAAATGTCAAGAAGATAACATTTTCGAGGGCTGCACGTAGCAATTTTCTTTGAAAATTTGTACACAAAAATGTTACAGCCAAGTTAGTTTTTGCGCTTTTCATTTAACCTATTTGTCAGGCGTTCATTTTTAAAATGTTGTTACTTGTGTGCATATGTGTTCTAAATAACGAAATTTGTCTGTGTCACGCGTTAATGACGAAATGACACTTCGGTTAAAATATTTGGTGCACATATTATGGTTTAATGTATTTTTCACCTTAAAACGTTTGCTGCAGTGTTTGGATTTAGCGCTACCTAGTAATTTTAAATATTTCAACGAACGTTATAAAAAAAAAAAAAAAAAAAAAAACAGTTTATTTATATTTTTTGATTGATTAAATCTTTCACGTTTGTTTGCAGTTTATTTACTATGTCCATATGCATACGGCCAGGCGCACATCGAGACGCAGCGATGCGGCGCAGCGCAGCGCAGTTTTCCGTAATCTATTAGTCAGAACGTACTGGTGCATATTGACAGGCGCGGCTGGGCAGAGCAGTGCTGTGCCTGCGGCACGCAGTGTCCGCGACACGGTTTTACTGCACACGTGCCACACGCTTTTGGAAAATATACGCATAAGCCGGCCTAACATAATTTTAAACTTTAAAAAAAAAAAAAAAAAAACATTTTTTCCACTTTTTCGATGTAAGAAACTCTAATTGAAGCCGTCCGAGATTACAATAAGATATTGTTATATGCCACTAGTCGTGTCGAATATAATATGAAGACCGGATTGAAAAATGAAACATGGGAAAAGATTGTTGTAGTGAATAGCTTATACTGAATTCACCATGACTTTTTCTTTTTTTTATAAAATTACTTTACCACAGCTTTTTACGTATCTATATTTAACGGATATGACAAAAGAAATTCATCAAATTCGCCGTCGATGTCTGATTCAAAACTTATATATTTGATGGGCTGTCATTTCGGTCACGACTGGAGGATGAACGGTAACACAGAACTGCGTAGTAATATACGCTTACGTAGGTCACACAGTTTTTCCTGTATTCTATTTTACGTCCGGTATAACGAACGCCATCTACCGATAAATTCAATTTCGAAAACTCGCATAGCTAAAGAAAGTAAACAAATCTTTCCAGAAATAATAACGGTAATAAATATTATACTATATTATTATTATTGGCAATATTTCAACAATATCGTCGTAAAAGTTTACCGGTGGAGGGGAAAGGGGGGAAGAGGGGGGGGGAAGGAGCCTTAACAGTGTTTTTTATGTTTATAGTGCGCAAAACTTTTGGCCCACCCGAATCTACCTGTTACCACTGTTACCTCAAACCTCGGTAACTCAAATATCCCGGTTTTAGACTTAACGTTTGCAAATAATAGGTATACAGACATTTTTACATTGGTATAATTATATTCGTCGACCATCGAAAATGAATTAATTCTCACGAAATAAAACATAGGTAACATGAGTATTATTGTATCACATTATTATTTTTAATATAGTCACACAACACGCGTTGACAAATTTTTGAAAAAATATCAACGTACATTGTAATCATAGGTATTCGTAATACGGGGCGACAAAGTTCGGTAATGGTGTAACTGTCGAGTACGACATTTTCATCGGCCGTAAACAAAACTATAATGTTATCGTTTTACTCGGCCCGGACGTTTCATATAATTCAATCAGGAACATACGAAATCGAATGATATTTTAAATAATCCGGTAATAGGTACTCGAAAACCGAGAGCCATAGGCGGATGTATACCAATAATCACTACGGTAAACATTCCCAAATTTATGACGGCGGTCTGCGTCGACTTGGGAAAGCGATTTTGACTAGAGTTCGTGTTGTTCGCCAACAGTGTGGTTTGCTTGTATTTCAGATCCATTCCGGCCGAGTCGCTGCTATGCAATCCGAGAAATTCACTGCAGATTTATGGCGGCAGAAGGTCGTGAAACAGCGTCATAATATTTCTTACGGCCCGACGAGTTGCAGTGATTGCAGATAATTAATATCAGCGATTTTTTTTTTTTTTTTTTCACCAAGGTTTCTACGTATCTGAGATTTAGCGTACTAATAAATGACTGGTTAAATTGTCAACACCGCGTAACCGGAGAAAAATGTTGTAAAGACAACAATAGCGACCGAAACCAACCGATTTCGTCACCTTTGGCGAGAAAACTACTACTATTTCGGTTTACGCGGAAATCCGAAGATTCAGGATACACAAACGCAATAGCGTCAGGCTTAAAAGTGTGTTCGATTTCGAACAATAAACTGTAATATCACAACAAACCACGGGCCGTCTATTACCAAAACCTCTCTAATATAATGTAATAATACATCGAATCAAAATGCATTATTATGTTCTATAATTATACTATTATAGCCAACTGCAGTGACGGGGCTCGCCGATCATATTCCATTTTGTCATCGTTGTTTTATTTAAAAATATTCGTTGTTTTATGGTGTGGTTTTTCGTCTATCATACGGACAAGCTCTCTCTGGGTAACACCCCGGCCGTTACGTAGCCCTTTTCTTGTTTTTTTCAAAAACCTAGTGGTAATTGATTGGTATGCCTTTTTTTATTAGGCTCTGCTTTGATCGACGCTGTTTTTACATTTTTTTTTTTCGTTCTATTATTAGGTAATTATGGTTTGTTACTATTACAGTATATACTATTATGGTGGTCGATTTAAGCGCGATTTATTCATAATATTTTTTATTTTTACTTTTTATCTAGGTAACAAGCTTATTGATTTTTAAAATAATATCTCGAATTCTTGTGATTAAAAAAATATTAATTTTATTAAAATAAAAAAGACTAATCATATGAATGACTAATCAAACGACTGTTATTGAAATAGCTCATTCAAATAATTAGTTGTAGTAGTGTTTAGTAAAATATAAATATCCTTAATTACCATCACGTAGGATAATTTGACTGATTAATTGGACCATCTTAGTGACGGTACGTTAGTTCCAACAGTGAAAAATATTATTACGTTCATCTCTATAATTTCATCAATCGCTCAATAACTTGTGAATTTTAGAACACGACGACTATTGCAGTAAAAGTTTTAAGATTGTCTATTATCAGACAAACTAGTCTAATCGAACAAATTTTTACAATCTCCCAATGTGTTTCTACATAGCTTTATCATATGTGCTGCACCCATTAAAACATGAACTTTTTCATTTATACCTGGGTAGTTTAAAATTATAAATTACAAATTGAGCTCCCATATCTCGAATCATTGAAATATAAGCTGCTGCGCCATCAAATGTTAATAATTTCATTGTTGCACCTGCATCACGAAATTTGGTTAAAACCATATTTACAAAGTTTGCATCGTCTTTGGAAAGATCCTCCATTAGTTAAAAAATATGCGATTGGACGCGGCCTGTTTGAATTTTAAGCAACCAACATAAAAGTTAAGGCTTTTTTAGCGTTTGGCAGGGCATCACTTTCACCAGTACCTCTTACATAAATGACATAACATTATAGTCGGGAGCCAATATAATGTTCGTCTACATAAATATACATCTCATCCTTTAAGAGACCACAGACCAGAGTTTATTTTTGATTATTTTCATTTCATCGACCTATATTGAATTGGCGCTTAATGCTTCAAACGTTATTCCAGGTTCTCCGTTTATTGATAAATACTATTTAACGAGGCTGGGCATTAACAAATTAAACGTTAAAAATTAAATTAATATCATAATTGTATCATTATTAAATCTACATGATGAGTACCTATGAATGCATTTTAATACCATGTTCTTTAACAGTGGTTTTAATTACATTAATTGAACAAGTTTACATTTTACGAAATTATTATTGTAAAACAATACAACGCAAGGCTTAAAATGAATGAAATAACGTTGGCGGGTAACAAAATTTTGAAAATCGATAATGCACAAGAGCAGTGATACAAACACATGGTATTACATTTCGAAAAAAAAAAAAGCAGTTGATAACATAAAACTATTGTATTTAGTCCCTTATCAATTATCTGATTACTAGCAATATCCGCGGGCCTACCGGTATCCGGCTGTTGTCCGATCGATGGGACGATGACTGGCTTATGTTAGTTACGGTTCGTCGGTCCTAACAGTGTAAACTCTCATTACGTTCATCTATATAATTTCATCCATCCCTCCATGATTTGTGAATTTTAGTGCACTACTACTGCTGCAGTGTACGTTTTACGTTTGTCTATTGTTTGACTAACTTGTCTGTGTGAATTTGCTAATATATCATCTTCAACGACTTCTACTTCTGTTATAACACTCGCCATGGATTCCGAAATTACAAATAATGGCGGTGATGTTGGAAAACTGTCAAAGGACGAACTCAAAGTGTACGATCGGCAAATACGTCTATGGGGCCACGATGGACAGAAGAAGTATTATTTAAAATAATTACNCGTGTTTTAATATTAGGTTGAGTTCATGGAATGTTCTTCTGATCGGAATGCAAGGTTTAGGTGCGGAAATTGCTAAAAATTTGATATTGAGTGGCGTACATTCTATAACTCTTAAGGATGACACAAATATTTCCATTTTGGACCGCTGTTCGCAATTTCTCATCCCTCCGGACAGCGAAGAGCGTAATGTAAGTACTTATTTGCAAAATTGAACTTGCAGTACCGTTGTACCGATTATAACTAATTGGTTCGTTGTGTAATTTCCAATTGGAACTAGTCTAGTATACCTGTGTACATAAAAACTTGTATTAAACATAATAATAATAATAATATTTGACAATTGTTTGCCAAATTATTTATTAACATAAACACATTTCCTAAATAGTTGGATGCGTGTTGTTTTTAGCGTTTATATTGATGTTAATATTTAATTGACATGTCATTATGAAACAATTTATTTAATATTAACTATTAGTTCTGATTAGGTATTTGAAAATTATGTACTAATTTAAAGAATGGTGAGACCAATTATGTAGGTAAAACTAACATTGGATTAGCACAATTAGCAACTATTATTTTAATTTTTCTGTAATGTTTTTTACTTTTGTAGGTATGACATTCCGTAATTTATATCCAGCTTATATATATACCTAGGTCGTACACTTATAAGTATTTGTCGTTTATCAGTTGATCACATTTGTTTATATGATGTATTAGATCATATTTATTTGCATATAGCCATGATATAATAATTATAATATTTTTTTAATTGTAGCGAGCCAAAGCAAGTTTGGCGAATGCTCAGAAATTAAATCCAAACGTGACAGTAACGGCCGATATCAAATCCATTGAAGAGGAAGAGGAAGATTTTGTCTCAAAATTTGATGTCGTCATTGCCACTGAGTGTTTTCCTGCAATTTATAGGAAAATCAATGAGAATTGCAGAAAACATAAAGTAAACTTGTATATTGCGGATGTTTTTGGTTTTTTTGGCTATTTTGTCCAGGACGTGTAAGTAAAAATGTGATTTATTTACAATACGTAAAATTTATAATTTTATTTTTTTAGCACTTTTGAACACAATTTGTATCATGAGATTTTTCCTAACTATGATCAACGTAGTAATGTTTCAGAAAACCGCCCGTTGCCATATTATTTAACATCGGGTATGTATCATTGATTTTGTACAAGGAAATGATAAGGTAAGAGTACTATTGATTTTTCAAATTGTTTAGCCTTATTGAGATTTCAATGCGAATCAAATCGAAAGCCTGTCCCAGACAACTGCGAGGAAGACATTGCAGAGCTTAAGTCTATAATTTCATCTTTTGAACATATAACTGATATAGAGGCATACGATGAGTATTTGGGGTGATTATTATTATAAATTAATCTTTAAATTTAACATTTATATTAATAATAATATGTTTATTTCAGTGAACTGTTTTGCGAAATGAGTCCAACGACTTCGATTATCGGTGCGGCTGTAGCTCAGGCAGCAATGAATACTATTATGGACAGGACAATTGACAATTTCAATGTGTTCTTTTATGACCATGTGGAACACAGAGGACAATATTTTAAGTTGTAAAACATAATGAGATGAAATCTGGCCNATAATTATTTTAAAATAATAATATTGAATGTAATTTATAATAAATAAAATGATTATAATAAAAAAATGGTTCTCCTAATTAGCAAGAATGACATAGTATGGTATTAAAATTATTAGGTATACATGACAAATTAGTATTGCATTACTTCAATCAAACTAAAAAATATTTTTACACATAAAACAGACTTAACATTATTAATTTTTGAAATGAATTTGTTTTGTTATTGTTATCTATTGAAGTGATGTTATCTTACTGTTGTGTATATTTTTAAAAATAAACATACAAGTTGAGGTTTATGACCTTTCAAAGGTGATTGATTTAGAATGTGGTGTGGTGTAACGGTGAATAGTTTGTTTATTTTGAGATGAGCTAAAGATTTTATTGTTAGGAATTTAATATTATATTTCATTGTTTTGATGCCTATTTGTTCTATATTACTTTGAAATATAGTTTCTGTTAATTTACAAATATTAACCACATCTTGTGACGGTTTTGTTAAGCTTCCTTTTGTTTTTTATAGACAGTAATGATGTAGGTTACTGATCAATAATTTCCGAATCAATAATTACTAAAACACTTTAATAATATTTAAAAAATTTAATTTAATAATACTTTAATACTTAAAAAAATTATTTGTTTTAAAAAGTTATATCAAAACAAGGGAAATATGTATTTATTATTTTTAAATATAATTAATATTTAAAAACTAATTTCACATAAACATTACGCTAGGAACAGTTCTCTTTGAAAAAAAAAAAGTATGTTTTCCGCATTGCGTGTGCAATAGATAAATGTTTCATTCAAATCAATAATGATTAATTTGGTCAATATCCTATATACATAATAATATTTGTTTGTGTTATTCAAATATTATATATCTACCAATAATATAACATTACAATTTTTATTGGTAATAAATTTATTTCTATATATAAATATACCTTTATATATATATATTAAAATTAATCGATCCAGTAGAATTCAAAATCTCTTATTAATCACTTTAGATAAAATTTGATAACATATTCTAAAAGATCGTTTAAGGTTTAGTAGAAGTAGATGAAAACAGAATTGAGCTACGATGATTTCAGGCTGAGATATTCAAACTGAAAAATTCTCAAAATTGAATTATCCAAAAATCGATTTTTAGTATGTATTGTAAATAAGTTCAAAAATAACATCGGTTTTTGTTTTACATTCTTCTGATTATTATTGAATAAGTTAGAGCATTTCAAAAATTTCCCCTTCCTATGTATATATTATTTATAAAATCTATCATTATATTGAAATAATATTAAATTTATATAACTTAAATGGACTAATTTCATTGTGCTTTAATATCCCAGTGTTCTGGGCTATTGGTGAATACTTCAATTATAATTCAATAGATTCCAGGTTCAAACTGTAATATAGGCTATAAAAATGTGTAAAAAAAATTTCAGCCACTGGCGTGACGTAATATCCGTAAGCTGAAAACATTGTGTAATACCATATCTGTTATATGATTGTGACGATTTGATAAGTTAGTAGCTTATCCGTGGTAATAAACTCATGCGCAACCAGAATTCAAAATTAGTGCGATTACATGATGGATAAATAGATCAGAACATTAGGATAATAGTTAACCCAATCCAATGATGTATGAAAAATAATATATGAAAAAACAAATAAAAATTGGTGGTCACCGTGTATGTGAATGGATTGGGAAAACTATTGCAAATTTTTTCCATATATTTTAATTCAAATTTTTTTATTTTCCATTTTTCTTTTAAAAAAAATTGTTTGAACCTTAGTTAAAAGAAATATTTTCTATATTAAATGGAAAACTTTTAAATTCAATTGAATAGCGTCACCTTTAATTATAAATTCATTAAATTAAATGATTTAGAAACTAATCAGCAATATTTATGCAAATATTTTAGTATTGATAAAACAGGATATGGTGATAATTTAAGTGTTATTTTAGATGATAAATTCAAATTATTTTTATCTGATAGATTTTTAAATAATTTTTCTCATAGAGAAATTGAAACAATCAATAAAAACACACAAGAGCAAATCTTTTTGGTTTTTAAAGGTGTAAAACAACAAAATATATTATTTAATTGAATTTGAATAAAGAGAACTATTCAAATCTTTTAATTTGATTTAAACTGAAAAATATTATTTATAATAAATAAGAATAATAAAAATATAAAACGGATTCATAAGGTTAGAAAATCCTATATTTGGAGAAAATGTATTTATTGGTGTTTTAGGTTTAAATATTACATCAAATTTATTAAAAATTGAAACAGATTGTTTATTAAAAATTGATGGAAACATAATTGAACTAAAAACAGGAAAATATAGTATAGATGAATTAAATAAAATTGTTAAATCTTTAATAATTTATGTAGAAGGAGACAATATTAATATCAAATCTTATGTGTTTTTTTAATTTAGATAAAAAGTATAATAAAATTTAATATTTATCTTGAACATGGTTTATATTATACATTTATAACAGTAATACTTGAAAAAGGATTATTAAAAATATCATCCCCCTTTAATATATGTCCTGATTCGTATTTATCCAATTGTTTAGGTTTTGAATATAAAGATGTTGAATCACTTAGAGGAGAAAAATATTCAAAAATATTAGGGTCTAAATGGTCTTCTCAAAAAGATGTTGAGAAAGGAGAATGATTTTTTACTTCAACTTCTGTAGGAACCTCTAACTTAAATGAAAAAAAAATATTTAAGTAACATAGAAGGAAATACATATTTTGATAATGGTGTAATTACAAAAATTTCTAGATTGAGTTATACTTTGATTAAATAGATTTTATTTTAAAAATGAATCTGAAAGTTTCCGATAATGATTTAATTGAAATTAAAAATTATGAAAATAATTTTGCTCTTTGTTTACATGCATAAAATAAAACAAATAAATTAAAAAATAATTAATAATTATAAAAAAATCAAATGTTACATAAACATTGCACTAGGAACTAGTTCTCTTTAACAAAAATAAATAATATAATATATTACGCATCACGCGTGAAATAGATTATATCTCAAAAATAATTTATATTAAAATTATCATTCTTTTTTATTATTTGTTTTTATTAAATTATCAAGGTATTCTCTGAAATTTTCTCTTTCTATTTTTGTTGAATAAAGTCCCAAAACTAAAGTATTCATACAATTTTCTAGAATATATCTTTTATCATTGTATGCACTGAGATCTTTTTTGTTTTGTTCAACAGTATATATTTCATGTTTATCTGTTCTAAAAGTGTTCTGTTTTTTATATCTGTATAAAAATCATCAATAGTTATTTCTACTATTAAAGAATCTGTGTCTGTGTATAATCTGATATTTTTTTCAATATGTTATAATAGGAATCATACATTCGAGTTTTAGATAAATCTAAAATACATATTCCTAAATAAATCGGTTGTTTTAATTCAACCATAGTTTTTTTCATATGTACAGCTACTAATTTTTCTGTAAAAATAGTTGCTCGATCAAAATTTGGTTAAGCAACCCATTTTTCGATTTTTTTTCATCGTTAATTAATTTTATATATTTATGATTCCTTGTGTTCATCATAGTCCTACCAAATACACTGCTGTTCATTAATTTATAATGATCTTTGTCAAATTAATTATCTGCTTTGCACGAAAATTTATGTTAAATTCTATATATGGTTTCAACCAATCTTTTTGATTATTACCCTATGTATTTTTTCTAATTTTAAACCTAAAATTAAAGCCTAAGATTAATATAATGTAGAATATATTTTTTCTTAACATATAGAGTTTTTGTTATTTTGGTAATTCATTATTATCAAATACATTTTCAGTGGATAATCAGAATGAAGATAGTGAAGCTCTTCAGGATATTTCAAATCTACTTCGAACATGTTAGCCCTTTTCCTAGTCATCTTTCATTCTTAAAATTTTTTTTTATTTAATATAAGAATCCAAAGTATGTAAAACAGAACACTTTTAGAACAGATAAACATGAAATATATACTGTTGAACAAAACAAAAAAGCTCTCAGTGCATACAATGATAAAAGATATATTCTAGAAAATTGTATGAATACTTTAGTTTTGGGACTTTATTCAACAAAAATAGAAAGAGAAAATTTCAGAGAATACCTTGATAATTTAATAAAAACAAATAATAAAAAAGAATGATAATTTTAATATAAATTATTTTTGAGATATAATCTATTTCACGCGTGATGCGTAATATATTATATTATTTATTTTTGTTAAAGAGAACTAGTTCCTAGTGCAATGTTTATGTAACATTTGATTTTTTTATAATTATTAATTATTTTTTAATTTATTTGTTTTATTTTATGCATGTAAACAAAGAGCAAAATTATTTTCATAATTTTTAATTTCAATTAAATCATTATCGGAAACTTTCAGATTCATTTTTAAAATAAAATCTATTTAATCAAAGTATAACTCAATCTAGAAATTTTTGTAATTACACCATTATCAAAATATGTATTTCCTTCTATGTTACTTAAATATTTTTTTTTCATTTAAGTTAGAGGTTCCTACAGAAGTTGAAGTAAAAAATCATTCTCCTTTCTCAACATCTTTTTGAGAAGACCATTTAGACCCTAATATTTTTGAATATTTTTCTCCTCTAAGTGATTCAACATCTTTATATTCAAAACCTAAACAATTGGATAAATACGAATCAGGACATATATTAAAGGGGGATGATATTTTTAATAATCCTTTTTCAAGTATTACTGTTATAAATGTATAATATAAACCATGTTCAAGATAAATATTAAATTTTATTATACTTTTTATCTAAATTAAAAAAACACATAAGATTTGATATTAATATTGTCTCCTTCTACATAAATTATTAAAGATTTAACAATTTTATTTAATTCATCTATACTATATTTTCCTGTTTTTAGTTCAATTATGTTTCCATCAATTTTTAATAAACAATCTGTTTCAATTTTTAATAAATTTGATGTAATATTTAAACCTAAAACACCAATAAATACATTTTCTCCAAATATAGGATTTTCTAACCTTATGAATCCGTTTTATATTTTTATTATTCTTATTTATTATAAATAATATTTTTCAGTTTAAATCAAATTAAAAGATTTGAATAGTTCTCTTTATTCAAATTCAATTAAATAATATATTTTGTTGTTTTACACCTTTAAAAACCAAAAAGATTTGCTCTTGTGTGTTTTTATTGATTGTTTCAATTTCTCTATGAGAAAAATTATTTAAAAATCTATCAGATAAAAATAATTTGAATTTATCATCTAAAATAACACTTAAATTATCACCATATCCTGTTTTATCAATACTAAAATATTTGCATAAATATTGCTGATTAGTTTCTAAATCATTTAATTTAATGAATTTATAATTAAAGGTGACGCTATTCAATTGAATTTAAAAGTTTTCCATTTAATATAGAAAATATTTCTTTTAACTAAGGTTCAAACAATTTTTTTTAAAAGAAAAATGGAAAATAAAAAAATTTGAATTAAAATATATGGAAAAAATTTGCAATAGTTTTCCCAATCCATTCACATACACGGTGACCACCAATTTTTATTTGTTTTTTCATATATTATTTTTCATACATCATTGGATTGGGTTAACTATTATCCTAATGTTCTGATCTATTTATCCATCATGTAATCGCACTAATTTTGAATTCTGGTTGCGCATGAGTTTATTACCACGGATAAGCTACTAACTTATCAAATCGTCACAATCATATAACAGATATGGTATTACACAATGTTTTCAGCTTACGGATATTACGTCACGCCAGTGGCTGAAATTTTTTTTACACATTTTTATAGCCTATATTACAGTTTGAACCTGGAATCTATTGAATTATAATTGAAGTATTCACCAATAGCCCAGAACACTGGGATATTAAAGCACAATGAAATTAGTCCATTTAAGTTATATAAATTTAATATTATTTCAATATAATGATAGATTTTATAAATAATATATACATAGGAAGGGGAAATTTTTGAAATGCTCTAACTTATTCAATAATAATCAGAAGAATGTAAAACAAAAACCGATGTTATTTTTGAACTTATTTACAATACATACTAAAAATCGATTTTTGGATAATTCAATTTTGAGAATTTTTCAGTTTGAATATCTCAGCCTGAAATCATCGTAGCTCAATTCTGTTTTCATCTACTTCTACTAAACCTTAAACGATCTTTTAGAATATGTTATCAAATTTTATCTAAAGTGATTAATAAGAGATTTTGAATTCTACTGGATCGATTAATTTTAATATATATATATAAAGGTATATTTATATATAGAAATAAATTTATTACCAATAAAAATTGTAATGTTATATTATTGGTAGATATATAATATTTGAATAACACAAACAAATATTATTATGTATATAGGATATTGACCAAATTAATCATTATTGATTTGAATGAAACATTTATCTATTGCACACGCAATGCGGAAAACATACTTTTTTTTTTTCAAAGAGAACTGTTCCTAGCGTAATGTTTATGTGAAATTAGTTTTTAAATATTAATTATATTTAAAAATAATAAATACATATTTCCCTTGTTTTGATATAACTTTTTAAAACAAATAATTTTTTTAAGTATTAAAGTATTATTAAATTAAATTTTTTAAATATTATTAAAGTGTTTTAGTAATTATTGATTCGGAAATTATTGATCAGTAACCTACATCATTACTGTCTATAAAAAACAAAAGGAAGCTTAACAAAACCGTCACAAGATGTGGTTAATATTTGTAAATTAACAGAAACTATATTTCAAAGTAATATAGAACAAATAGGCATCAAAACAATGAAATATAAGTTGAATAACACAAACAAATATTACTATGTATATAGGATATTGACCAAATTAATCATTATTGATTTGAATGAAACATTTATCTATTGCATAAGTGATGGGTGTTAAAACAATTTTATTGAATGTATTTTATAATAAATTAAACAGTTATATTAATTAAATAGTTCTCTTTATTAGCAAGAAAGACATAATATGGTATTAAAATTATTAAGTATAATGACAAATTAGTATTGCATTAACTTCAGGTAAACTAAAAAATATTTTTACACATAAAACCGGTTTAACATTGTTGATTTTTGAAATGAATTTGTGTTTTTAAAAATTATCCAATTACAATTATTGATTGACTGTTAGATCTATTGAAATGATATAATCTTACTGTTAGGTATATTTTTAAAATTAATCATACGAGTTGCGGTTTATGGCCGTTCAAAGGTGATTGATTTAGAATGTGGTGTGATATAATGGAGAATAGTTTGTTTATTTTGAGATGAGCTGAAGATTTTATTATAAGAAATTTGATATTATATTTCAATGTTTTGATTACAAATTTAGCTCCCAAATCACAAATCATTTAAATATAAGCTGCTGCACCAACAAATGTTAATAATTTCACTATTGCACCTGCATCATGAAATTTGGTCAAATCTATATTTACCCAGTTAGCATTGTTTTTGGAAAGATACTCCTTTAGTTAAAAAAATATGCTATTGGACTCGGCCTGTTTGAATTTTAAGCAACCAACATAAAAGTTAAGGCTTCTTTAGCATTTGGCAGGGCATCACTTTCACCAGTACCTCTTACATAAATGACATAACCTTATAGTCGGGAGCCAATATAATGTACGTCTACATAAATATACATCTCATCCTTTAAGAGACGACAGACCAGAGTTTATTTTTGATTATTTTCATTTCATCGACCTTTATAGAAAAAGCACTTAATGCTTCAAACGTTATTCCAGGTTCTCCGTTTATTGATAAATACTATTTAACTAGGCTGGGCATTAACAAATTAAACATTAAAAATTAAATTAATAGTACATGTATCATTATTAAATCTACATGATGAGTACCTATGAATGCATTTTAATACTATGTTCTTTAACAGTGGTTTTAATTACATTAATTGAACAAGTTTACATTTTACGAAATTATTATTGTAAAACAATACAACGCAAGGCTTAAAATGAATGAAATAACGTTGGCGGGTAAAAATATTTTGAAAATCGATAATGCACAACAGCAATGATACAAACACATGGTATTACATTTCGAAAAAGAAAACAGTTGATAACATAAAACTATTGTATTTAGTCCCTTATCAATTATATGACTACTAGCAATATCCGCGGGCCTACCGGTATCCGGCTGTTGTCCGATCCGAAAAGGTTGGGCATTAACAAATTAAACATTAAAAATTGAATTAATGGTACATGTATCATTATTAAATCTGCATGTTGATTACCTATGAATGCATTTTAATACTATGTTCTTTAACAGTGGTTTTAATTACTTTAATTGAACAAGTTTACATTTTACCAAATTATTATTGTAAAACAATACAACGCAAGGCTTAAAATGAATAAAATTTTGTACTTCAATGTCTTTTTAAATATACATTTAAACAAAAAATGAAAACCAGAAAAACTCCGTGAACCGTGGTTAACATTTATGATGTGTTTTCTACAATCTATAAACGTACCAAATTAAGTGTCGTATCGCACACTACTTTACGTAAGAGAAAAAGTAAATTCCAATGCGAATTAACTCGTGGGCCATGGTAATTAAAGAACCAAAGAGATCTATAGATCTATTCTAATGGAAATTATAACGAACAATTTCATGGCGAAATAAAAATTAAAAATTATTTCATCCATGATTTCACTCATCTATCGCTATTCTTCTCACTCAATATTCATCACGAACACCATGACGGGAGATGAGGAAAGAGCAGTCCATTTATTAATGTCTATGATAGCCGTGGACTGTATCAACACCAACTCCGAAAAACGAAACAATCCACCACATCATAAAACTTGTTTTTAGTGTCCTTGCCAAAATTATACAACTTAAAAACTCCCGGGGTGGAAATAAAGGAGGGGGTATGGGATAAATTACTTCAGCAGGTCACAATATTTTAAAAGTCGACAAGGCAAAACAGCAGTAATACAAACGCATGGTATTACATTTCAAAAAAAAAACCGTTAATAACATAAAAATATTGTGTTTAGTCCCTTATCAATTATATGACTACTAGCAATATCCGCGGGCCTACCGGTATCCGGCTATCGTCCAGTCGATGAGACGATGACTGGTATATGTTAGTAACGGTTCGTCGGTTAAAACAGTGTAAAGTGTTAATACGTTCATCTATATAATTTCATCAATCCCTCCATGACATGTGAATTTTAGTACACTACTACTGCTGCAGTGTACGTTTTACGTTTGTCTATTGTTTGACTAACTTGTCTGTGTGAATTTGCTAATATATCATCTTCAACGACTTCTACTTCTGTTATAACACTCGCCATGGATTCCGAAATTACAAATAATGGCGGTGATGTTGGAAAACTGTCAAAGGACGAACTCAAAGTGTACGATCGGCAAATACGTCTATGGGGCCACGATGGACAGAAGAAGTATTATTTAAAATAATAACATTGAAAACTTATTAACCCGTGTTTTAATATTAGGTTGAGTTCATGGAATGTTCTTCTAATCGGAATGCAAGGTTTAGGTGCGGAAATTGCTAAAAATTTGATATTGAGTGGGATACATTCTATAACTCTAAAGGATGATACAAATATTTCAATTTTAGACCGCTGTTCGCAATTTCTCATCCCTCCAGACAGCGAGGAGCGTAATGTAAGTACTTATTTGCAAAATTGAACTTGCAGTACCGTTGTACCGATTATAATTAATAGGTTCATTGTGTATTGTCCAATTGGAAATAGTCTAGTGTACCTGTGTACATAAAAACTTGTATTAAAAATAATAATAATAATAATAATATAATAATATTTGACAATTGTTTACCAAATTATTTATTAACATAAACACATTTCCTAAATAGGAGGATGCATGTTGTTTTTAGCATTTATATTAATATTAATACTTAATTGACATGTCATCATGAAACAATTTATTTAATATTAACTATTAATTTTGATTAGGTATTTAAAAGTTATAACTAATTTAAAGAATGGTGAGACCAACTATGTAGGTAAAACTAACATTGGATTAGCACAATTAGCAACTATTATTTTAATTTTTCTGTAATATTTTCTACTTTTGTAGATATGACATTCCGTAATTTATATCCAGCTTATCTTATATAAATTTATAATACTTCTAAGTATTTGTCGTTTATCAGTAGATCACATTTTACTATCGGACCACACCTAATAGGCCTCTACCAAAATACAATTTCTGTCACACAAAATTGCCAGTAATAAGTACAATATTTATTTGTATATAGCCATGATATAATAATTATAATATTTTTTTAATTATAGCGAGCCAAAGCAAGTTTGGCGAATGCTCAAAAATTAAATCCCAATGTGACGGTAACCGCCGATATCAAATCCATTGAAGAGGAAGATGAAGATTTTGTCTCAAAATTTGATGTTGTTATTGCCACTGAGTGTTTTCCTGCAATTTATAGGAAAATCAATGAGAATTGCAGAAAACATAAAGTAAAATTGTTTATAGCTGATGTATTTGGTTTTTTTGGCTATTTTGTCCAGGACGTGTAAGTAAATATGTGGTTTGTTTAAAAAATGTAAAACTAATAATTTTTTTGTTTTAGCACTTTTGAACACAATTTGTATCATGAGATTTTTCCAAACTATGATCAACGTAGTAATGTTTCAGAAAACCGCCCATTACCATATTATTTAACATCGGGTATGTATCATTGATTTTGTACAAGGAAAAGATAAGGTAAGAGTACTATTGATTTTTCAAATTGTTTAGCCTTATTGAGATTTCAATGCGAATCAAATCGAAAGCCTGTCCCAGACAACTGCGAGAAGGACATTGCAGAGCTTAAGTCTATAATTTCATCTTTTGAACATATAACCAATATAGAGACATACGATGAGTATTTGGGGTAATTATTATTATAAATTAATCTTTAAATTTAACATTTATATTAATAATAATATGTTTATTTCAGTGAACTGTTTTGCGAAATGAGTCCAACGACTTCTATTATCGGTGCAGCGGTAGCTCAGGCAGCAATGAATACTATTATGGACAGGACGATTGACAATTTCAATGTGTTCTTTTATGACCATGTGGAACACAGAGGACAATATTTTAAGTTGTAAAACATAATGAGATGAAATCTGGCCATTTTTTCTTTTTCATTAAATAAATGATAATTATTTTAAAATTATAATATTTATATAAGTCTTCCTTAATATACCTCTCATCCTTTAAGAGACTACAGACCAGAGTTTATTTTTTATTATTTATCTTTAGAAGAAAAAAAGAAGAGCTACTAAAAGTTTATTACTTATTCTATGTTGAAAATATATTTTATACTTTACCAACCATTTATTTAAGTGCTTTCTGACAGATCAGAAGTTAAAAATACTTCACTGTTTATACCTATTATCAAGGATAGTTTTGGTTATATATGTTATTAAGTATTATGTTATCATCTTATATTAAAATAATTCATATATGCAAGGCTTAAATTAATTGCAAGAATCTAATTAAATACTCTAACAACAATAATTTTATTTTTTAAATAGTCGTTTTTCGTACCAAGAGATCTGTAAAATTAGATAATCTCTTATTGAGATCTTGTGAGTAATGGGACGTGTGTGGACTTTTATTTATCAGTTTTAAGAATTGTTTTTATTCGCTGTTAAATCACTTATATGATTTGATTATTTTTTTTAAGAACTCGATTTTGTTTTGTTAGTTGATTGGTGGAAAAGTGACATGCAAACATTTTTTTAATTATTTTAATTACATTATGAGTAGTATGAAAAGGGGAGATCTACTCCAGGAGCAAGGACCCCAGGTGCTATATTTAATACATGGCCGTCCATACAGATGCAGGGAACTATACCCGATACATAGCCGCCAGAATTATCCTCTTATCATTTTGACGGCGAACATGTCTGTCGGTCAATGCCTATATTCACGAACTTACGTTCTGTGAAACTCAAAGTATAGTTACTGCAATCCATAAGGTCCGCTGGCAGTGCTGGTGCAACGTATTTGTATAGTTGATTCTTGCTTGCAGTTAAATTTGTTTCAATTAAAACAGCCATATTTAAAATACTTGTACATTTCTTTAAAAAACACTTGGAAACAATTTATTGTCAAAGAAATAAGTACGATTTGCTGCTATTACTGTGAGACGAATAATAGTTCTGATTTTCATTTACTAGCATTCTCACGGGTCGAAATGTATACATTTATGGTGAGGGTAAGAGACATGTCCCAAATAGCTCAGACATGACTCATGGTTAGAATGTCTTATCGATAAAAATTCAGTGATATAATATACATTGTTAATGACTGATTATAGTATGTTATGATAGTATACTTGAAAATCCATTGAAAGTATGGTTTATATTATTTTAATAAAGAGCTAAGAATAATGATTGCTAATAGTATGTTATGTAATATATACATATATATATCAACTAATGTGTAATATATCATCAAATAATGTTTTTAAACGTTTTATTAAAATATATTTGGTGAGAGGGATTACGTACCGGGTAAGACGAGCGCGCATGCGTACGAGGAATAATACTAATAAAATAATATATACAATAATGATAACGAGTAGGTACTCTAGAACGGTATATATATATATCATCAGCTGTTATTACGGGGTGGACGTTACAGACCCTCGCCAGACAGACCTGTGCAGGTTCGTTGTCGCCGTCGTCGATTATATTTCATAAAGGATACAGAATTATGAAGAATAAATAAGGTATAAATCATATTTGACTACTACTAACGAATCTATCGCCTGAATTCAGTTTAAACAGATCCATTATGTGAGAAAGACATGCTTAATAATGTCTTCCGCTACTTTAGATATTCAATGTGTTTTACGGACGGATAATAAATATCTGATAAAAGAAATATCTATAGTCGACACAGATACTTGGGCAACTCAACATTGGATATTAAGAAATTCGCAGAGTGCTCAAAACGGAAAAATTCGTAATACAAATAAATGGCTCAAACGAAATTTCCATAATATACCCGTAGAATACGGCGATGTAGAGTATGAAGAACTTGATCGTATTTTGAACTCGTTGAAATTCGATCACATATACGTTAAGGGAGAACAGAAACAGAAAATGATCATAGATTTTATTCCGCAAGTCAACGTCTATTATCTATGGAAACCAATATACATAAAGACACTCTATAGTTTGTCTCAGGAGAGAACGGGCCGCTTGTGCGCATGTTTACCCCTCCACATAACTTGATTTCAGCGAAGGAAGCCGATTGTCATTTCTTCCGTCGTCGGTTTTTGACTATACACCGCTAGGATATTTTGTAGAAATTCAATTGTTATTATTATCAGACATCGCGCATCGCACGTTTTTTTACCTTTGCTGTTTTATAACCTGTTGATGATTTTTCAAATCGTAAACTATCGTATATACAAGCACCTTATATAATAATCCAGACTTTGTTTTTTTTGTATACATATTTATTTATATAATAAATAATAAATAATTATATTAAAACATTTCATTTTTTTTTCATTAAAATTACAATTTATCATTTTTGTCATATTTACATTTTATTTTATTTTTGATAAAATTACAAATTTATAATACTAATTATTCGTCATATTTACATAATTTTTTTAAAATAATTAAAAAAACGGAGAAAAAAGTAAAAATTACCAAACGGTACAAAAAAGTAAACGCTGTAAAAATGACGTGTGCGTACACCACGGCAATTGGCGATAAACAGTGGACTATCGACAGTCAACAGTGCATTATTTGAAACGCAGTGTACAACACCTGCACCACTTCTGCGGTCGCCGTTGCAGCGCTGTCGATAGATCCGAGAGGGGATAAATGGATAGTGTTGCGGCGTGGGGATGCGCAGTAGCGATTCGATTTGGTCGGAGAGCGGCCCGTTCTCTCCTGAGACAGACTATAATAATTATGCTGTATGCGTGATCAATGTACCGTACGAAGTATCGATACATAGTATTAAAAACGATGATATAATATTAATGGTTTTACATATAGGTACTATAATAGTTATGTTACCGATGTGTCTTACGATGAATCGTGTTAAATTTAAATACTATTAAAACGGTGATACAAGTTATTGTTATCGAAGCCAATGTATTATTCGCTTAAAAAAAAAAAAAACTGGTTGGTACTATTATTATCAACGAAAATATTTCCGGGTGTGATCGTAGCTATGTATGTGTATGTGTGTGTGCGCATGTGTGTAAGCAATCAGCCGGAGTGGTTGGTATGTGTGTATGCGGTTAGCCGGAGTGGTTGGTATGTGTGTGTGTGTGTGTGTGTGTATAATTAACAATCGTGTTGTCATCGTTAGTGTTTCTGTTGGTCGATGATAGCAATGCTTATAACAATTGTATTGTCGTTGACAAAAATCTAACCTAACAGGAAGATGATGACGATTATGTAACAGCTATGTAGAAAATAATATTTTTGTACGGGTACTTATTACGATGTAGACGAAGAGGATGTACGGGTATGGTAACATTAGCTCTTATACCTAGTCAACATTCAGCCGCTGCCATTGCTACTCGCGCTGCCGTATTTACTCCTCACTTCCCTGCTCACTGCCACGGAAGTGGGCTGAATGTTAACTAGGTATTACAGTAACGTACAGACCGTCGACATCGCTAATAACCATTTCGTTTTTGTAATAACGTGCATGATAATATTTATCAGTGGGTATGGATAGAGTGAAGCGAGCGCGCGCGCTCCCGGAGACGAAAAATATCATAATACTTATAAACTAATAATTGCTGGTATATGATAACGATTTGATAACAGTGGAAATGGTTAAGAGAGATACCGTAGGTATATGATAACGAAATAGGTATAGATAAATCGAGTAAGTATTCGATGTGAAAAAAATATTTGGATAAAGGGGGCGTGGCCATAATAGGTCGTGTACGATGTGCGTGTAGGAAAAAAATAATTGAAAAAAAGGAGGTGGGGAAAAATATATGCCAATGAAGAGGTGGAAAATTCGGGCGGCCATGTTTTAGATATAGCTCCTGGCATAGGTTAGATAAAAACGTGGTATTAATGTCGCTAATAAGAACTTGGTAATGATGTCGTTGATAAGAGATAATATATAACAGCTGATAAGAAAGTGGTCGTGGTCTAAATGGTCGATAAGGAGGTGGACAATTCGGACGACCATGTATTAGGTATAGCACCTGAGCTCCTTGCTCTTGGGGTATAACTCCCCTTTTCATACTACTACTACTACTACTGCTATATTATAATATACGCACGTGTTAATGTATAATATTATAACGTCATTGATTACAGATTGCTTTGAAAATCCAAGTGGGGAATGGGCACTGGTGGATTTAGCAGTTTGCTGCCTACAAGCAGGACATTTGCCGCATTTGGTCCAGCCTTTTGGACGGACGGGGACAGACGAGGCGACGCACACGGAAAATATAATACACGGAACAATTTAAATGATCTTATATTAAAATTCACAAAAACAGACGACGTAAAATCTTAAATCCAGTGTGATGTGTGTGTGTGTGTATGTGTGTGCGGCCGACCGATGACCGTGTCATCAAAAGTTCAAAAAAAATTATTCATTTTATGGAGTAAATTATTTTTACCCGTTTTTAAATTTGTGAAAGAACTATCAAGTTTTGCTTGGTTTCTGAATAAACCTTTTCTCATTTACTTCGCTATCTTCCCGCAGATTTTATTCGTACTCTTTGCGCCTCTTCTACTCGGTCGGCCACCGCTCGTTATGGCGTAATTTGAACACAATTCCAATTAAAACGTATACGGACACAACGCGCCTGTCGCAGCGCCGCGGTACACTAATAATGAACAGAACAATGTTATGATAAGGAATATATATGGATAACATTCTTCGTAAGCAATAGAATCGCGAAAATAAAACATAGTTGACGATAACAGTGTGTTATCGGCCTATCGCCGTAATGTATACCCGCGATTGTATCTATCGTGTAAACCGTTACCGGGGGAAAAACATAGTCTCGCTAATAATAATAATTCGAATTGATTTCCGAATCACCGAAACCATTTCACATCGTTCGGCGTGTCAACAACCCCCCCCCCCCCACCCCCCCAATGCCTATAATATTTATAAATTATTGTACAATTTTTTGCAAATTCGCCGCTCCGACCGCCCGAGACAAATTTGCCCGCAGTGTAACCCGACGCTGTGGGTAAAGCTTCCCATACACTACGACGAAACACGACGGTTTTCATCGTTGAATGATTTTGCTCATACACTACGGTAAAACACGTCGGTTTTCATCGTGCTGCATCGTCAGTTGTACACACTTCGTGTTGCAAAATCGAGTGATGCTTCGGTTTTTATTAAATTTATTAAGTTTATTTCAGCTGAGGTATAGCAAATTTGTTTTCGTATACCACGAATTCGACGCAATTGATAGCAGTGGCTGTGGCTAGTGTTGTTTTATCAAAGCAAAAGACTAGAAAACGTTCGGTGTGTACTAAAGAGTGGTTGTTAAAGAGAAAAATATTGTCTCATATAAATTTGTTGAATGAGCTGAAACTACATCCTGGAGATCGGTTTAATTGTTTAAGGACGGTTGAGCATACTTATTGTAATAAACGCGTAGGTTATTGTCGGAATGTACACGCATTACGATTTTAAACGGTAAACCCGTCGTGTTTAAAATCAAGACTGGACAGAAGTAAAAACCGTCGGGTTTCATCGTCGGATTCCGTCGACACACTACCGTTTTGACCGACGGTTCTTATCGTACCGATGAAAACCGCCGTGTTTCATCGTGGTGTACGGGAAGCTTGACGGTAAACCACCGCGCTACCGTTTCCCGTACAATCGTCGGGCGTGGGGTAAACTGGTTAAGAGATTTTGTCAGCGTGTCGTCCGCGACCAATTCGATTGGGTTAATTTGTTGCCCCTAACCGAGGAACATTAGCTGCTCAAAGTTTCCCGGTCCATTCGGCGCCACGAGCCATGTCGACATTAAGTGTCAATGGTACAAAGATCGTTACGGAACGGTAATCGGATGAGCGTGTAGGTCGTTTTTTCCCGTTTTTTTTTTTTCGAGCGATTAACGATATCGCGATTTCGGTAAAACTCTGCACGCGTACGAAGAAGAAAATCGAAAATTTCAATTGGACCGGGAAGAAGATTTCATTTCCGAGGAAACCGTGTATTTGCGTCACGTCATCGTGTTGCGCGTCTAACAAAATATTTCGTGAGGCGAGTAACTCGAAACGGATCGCGGTCGTTTCAATAAATTATTATAATATTCTGCAATGCTGTATCGTTTGTTCGAAATGTTTGTGTAAGCGAAACACCACCGAAACTTGACAGTAATAATAATTATTTAATTCGTATACTATACTTGCTCCGGTGTTGTGCTCGCGGAATTGATCAGTTGTTATAACAAAACAAAGCACAATAGAACAATTGAACATGAGAGTAAAAAAAAAAAATGTAGTAAAATTAATAAAAAAACAATTGTTGCGTATAACTAAATGAATAGGACCATATCTTACATTTTTTTTTTTTAACAATCAAACATAATCATTTTGAATCAAGGTGCTAACAAACGTTAAGTATAAAGGCGTACAAATAAAAGGATGATAGGACAATCCCTGATTGTTGACGTGTATGGGTCCGGATGTCTACAAGTGCAATATGAATTGCACCATTCGATAGTTCGTTTGACGTTCATGTCCAGTAACACGGAAATAATCGCATATTATGGCATTTTTACCACCCGAAAACAACACGTATAATATACTCGTTGGAATATTGTTCAGTCGACGCCGCCATGTAATTCAGTTTAAGATGAGTACGAGCTCGAAGCGGGAACGGCTCCGGGGAGGTGGGGGGGGGAGAAACAGCGGCCCCCGAGCCCGTAATATTTTGTTAAAACCACTTTACAAAACAAACATATTATACTACCGACTATAACAGACGCGTATAAGTGTGTAGTTAGAGATATCTATACTGTTAAGTAAAAGTAAACTATAAAATATGCTTTACGTTTTACTGTTTTCTGAAAAATATAACTTAGCCCCTCCCCATTCTCAGACAAGTCTTTGGAGCCACCCCTGGCTCTAAGCATCAATATTAAATTTATCAAATAATTGCTCAACAATAAAAAATACAAATCCGTCAAAACATTGTAGATGTTTTGTACATCGTAGTTACGCTCCTTATAGATTCACGATGGACAGTCCACAGTAACAGTTGTACGTGAGAAGTTACCAAGATAAGATACATTGGGTTAGATACTTAATTTATACCTGTATGTAATGGTTAATAACGAAAAACTTTTCCGAGTCAAGTTTGATTAATCGTTATACTATACAGTATATTTTTTATAAAAATCACAAAAATCATGATTCTGACCGGTGACCAAATATAAATAGTACATACTAAAATTGATAAGTACATAATAATTTAGTATGCTTGAGTGAAAACCTACATAGTAAAGAATATTAAGAAGTGTTTTGAAAAAAAAAATCCTGCAGGTTGCAATCTACTATAAATTATGGACGCGTTCAGTGCACCGTAGTCCCGACATAATTGAATATTGAATTATTGCATTAATCATTTGATTGTTTTTTCGACAGTCGTGTTCAGTAACAATGAGACTATCGAATACGAAGTTTTTATCACCTGAAAAATAATAATACGTTGGATTATTACTCCTTCGAACCCACAGTTTTTCTATCAGTAATATGTAAGAAATTTAAGTTATTCGACAGTAAATCTTCGCTACTTGGGTTTGTGTATGAATTATTCGAATACTCACCCTACAAATCAATTCGAGATTTATGACGGTTGTCGGTGTCAGCTTCGTAATGCGCTTGTGGCAAATGTTCATGTTCATCGCCGTCAATATTGTCTTTTTGAATTTCAAATTCATTTCGGTCCAGTTACTGCTGTACAGTCCGAAGTTCACCGCAGATTTCTGGAGGAAAAAAATTTGAATATAATCATTGATACGGGACATTTAATAAATAATTGTATTTAGTGTATATTTTTTTTTTTACCGCAATTTCTACGTAGCTAAACGCGTAACAATAAATACCCAGTTGAATTTCTACTACCACGTAAGTGCCGATGATTTTCAAAACCAGTGGGGACATCAGCGACCAGCCGGACATAAACATCTTGGCAAAGTAAAAAATATGCATTCAGTTACTAATAACATTATAAATTATAATACTCGTAGATACAAGTGTCCGACTCGAAAGTGTTATTCCATACACCGCGGCTGCTTACCAATGCAATAAAAAATATTGCTAAAACCCCCGTAACCGAACAATTAGCTATTTGCAAAATGACTACGACTTGGACAGCGTGGTGAAAATCATCGTGTTTCCTGAAAGTGAACATAGAAATAAAAATAAAAACACATAATCATCATAGTTCGCATCGTTTCTAGTAGATTTATATATTAACAGTGTTTAGTTATTACTATAGGACTCGGATTTTATAGCACTGAAAATAACTGAACTACCTATGCCTGTGCGCTATAATACCTGTATGTATGATCTAACAGATATTAAAATAAGCGCCATAAAATTATCTAAAAGGGTTAAAATAAGCTATGTTTTCTATATTTTCTTGAGTAATATTTGTTTAATGTTTTATCGATTTTCCCAGTTTTCCCGTGTTTTATCCCGGTTTTTCACATTTGCTGGGAAAACTCTTGAGAAAATCGAAGAATGACCTTTCAAAAGTACCGCCCAAGAGAAATTTCCTTTTAGAAACATTGCTATCATTATAAGTTGGAGCAAAATTGCCGGTAGAAATGTTGTGCGCAGGAAAAAAAATTGTAATATACAGTTTCTTATTTAGAAATATGAACAAATGTAAAGCTTATTCAGCTATTTTGTTACTTTATTCTATAATAATTTGCAAATGCTATAAAATTCGATCCCTGGTTATTACGAGATACTGACTTAACGATTTGTTGATTATCCTTAATGAGAGAAATTAAATCGCGATAACGATCGTCACCTGGAAAAAAAAAAAGTTATCCGCGTATCGCCTTGTTATTATAGATCTAGAAAGAGTAACAGAGTGTACGTATACGTGGGGATTGGGTTCTGCTTTTGAATTGTATTGGCATTTTGTTTTATAGAGGAAGTACCTTACCGTGACGAGGGGTGTCGGTGGTATCCCGTAACGGTGACCGCCAGCCGAGCGCCGCGTATCCTGCGGTCAAGGTGTGGAACTGGGCGTTCAGCGAGAAGCACGCGGTCAACAAGTAACAGTCGAACAGCGACCAAACGGTACAGTTGAAAAACAAGATGAACGCCTCGTACGCGTAGACCAGGGACCAGCCGACCGGCGAGTTGTACGCCGCGTTGGACATCGGTACCCATAAATTGAATATGCCTATTCGGTATTCCTTGACGTCGCGGTCCAGGTGGGTAACGGACAGCCGTTTATCTTGGACGAAGAACGGCGATACCAGCCAGACGACCGCCGCGCCGTAGTTGATCACCACCAATGCGTGGAGCAGCGTAGACAACGCGGTCCGGCACCGGGATAGCCGTGACGGGTCCCGTTGGCCACACGAAGTGAACGCGTACCGGGCCAGGTCCAGCACGGCCCACAGTCGGTCCGCGTTGACCAACAGCACGTACGCCTTTAGCGCGTACATTGCCGCAATAATAATCAACAGAGACAGGTACGTTAACCGCTGAAAGTCGTTCGACGCCAAATACAGGCACGCGACGTTCAAAATGATCGACCCGAAGTACGTGCACAGGCCGATCTGTAATGCGGTCCGGTGCCACCGGCCGCCCGCGCTCAGTATCTGGAACAACCCGATCGCTTTAAACAGTTTCACGTCTACGACGGTCCCATCGCGGTCGTAGTTTTTCGATTTGTTAGCTGTCGCGGCCATAACAGTGAATGGGTCGTGTGTGGGTATCCTAACCCTAACCTCGCTCGGCCGCCTGCAAAACAAAACGGTGTTCATACTCGAATGCGTATTGCACAGCTCGGTATACTGCAGTGTTGAACGACATCACGCGTGACAAAAACGGTAATCGTACAACGGTCATTATACGGGTAATGGACCACGCTGACCGAACTAACAGAAACCGGCGAGTTAAACAACCGATATTTTGGAAAATGCCTATGACTCCAGAGTTAAATTACTTTTGATTAGAAAACAAAACACAAACTATAACGAGATCAAATGATCAGGACTAGACAAACTTGGAAAATAAAGGTGCCGAGAAATCGCATAATGTTTGGAACCCATAGTTTTTGGAAATAAATTATCAGATAATGCCGGTATAGCCCGCAAGTAAAAAAATACAATTTCAACAGACTTGAAAATTCACGATTTTAAAATTGTATTTTCGCGTTTGTTGGATTACGTTTATTGTAATAGTATTTTGAACTGTTATATTTCTCATAATTTTCAACCATTATTCGAATTTTATTTTCCTGCCGTTACTTTTCACACGTTCCTTGCAGTCTTCATCCCTCCAACCATCTATATCAATCGCCCCTTCCTTTTAATCTGAACTTCCACCCAAAGCGTCTCATTTTGTGCAGTAAAGGATGCTGTTTGTACTTAGCATTTTTCAATATTTATAATAGTTTATATTATAGTATATTACCTATTTATTTATATAAATGCATAAATAATACTCCACAGTCGAATTTATCTAATCGATGAAAAAAGACTTTTTTTCTTAGTTCGGCTCATTCATACATTTGTTACTTTTTTTTTTTTAACGAATATCAATACAATAATACTGAAATTCTTACTTACTATTTAAATTCTGTTTTTCTGTTTGAATATCCGTTCCGGCGGCCCGACACACGTCAACTCGTTACAGTGCCAGTCAAACAATAGCCAAAGGTTTATGCGCTTTATACATTATAAAACATCACGTCCTCAAAATGATTACTTATACCCACTAACGGCACCAACTACCATTATATATTTAAAATGTAATGTGGGTGGTTTTTTTTTTTTCATTTATTTATAGTAATATCGCGAGGGTTTGTTTAATTTGCATATTAGCTATTTGCATACTAGCATAATAGCTAACTATTCAAACAAAAAAGTCGACTGTAATAATATTAGAATAGTTATCTTATTTGTCTGCAACAAAATAGTATGCGTCATAATAATAACGTTTAGCCGTGTAAGTATTTAATTATGTACTAGTAGTTCGGTACAAGGCCGTTCTAAAAGAGGGCAATGAGATCAATGTGTTGACCAATGGGTTGATGTGACGTGGCCGGATATTAATCAGATAATACAATAATACATATATATGTATATATATATGATGAACATCCTTAAGTTTCTATATTCCATGACTATTCATAATATTCTCCAGGAATAATCCGCATTTTTAGAACCTAAATGTAGTAATACCACGGATTTTCATAGTAAATGTTCTATAGTGCACGAATTTAAATAGCTTTGCTTTGATTGACTGAGCTTATGAAAACTACATTTTATGACATTTTTCAAATCTGGTTTAGACATTTTTTTACGATTAATTATTTTATTTCAACTTTTTATTAAATTTTGTTTTTAGAGATTCTGAGTGAAGCCTGTGGTTTTAAAATGATGTTTATTTTAAATTTTTTTTTATCTGTGAACAACTTTGCTATAAGAAATACTTCTATGATTTACAACAGCTATTTTTTTTTGAAAGGAAATTTGACTGGGGAGGTACTTTACGGAGGTCGTTTTTAGATTTTCTCATGAGTTTTTTTAATAAATGGGAAAAAACGGGAAAAGAGGTACAATATTAGACAAATATTATTAAAGAAAATATATAAATGTAATTATTTTACCATAATATGACATATATATGGTATTATCGATAAAGCAACACTATCAATTGAACTCCACTCAGAATCGCTTTTTTGTTAACAATAGTTTATCGTTGCTCACAAATATACATTAAATTTCCCCTCTACTACATTCCCAATTTTTCACCTACAACAGTGGTTAGTCTAAAGCTGCGTCCACACTTAACAAACAATTCAAAAACGTTTGTCGAACGTTTGCTTGATGTTGACGTGTTTTTAATCCAATTTGTTTGTCAATAATCCAAACAAAGCGAACATTTTGAGTGTTTGTTTGTACGTGTATTCCGATATACCTTTATTGAAATAATTATAAACTCAGTTATATATATTATTATTATTTNTTTCAGTTATATATAATATTATAAATAATTGAAATAGTTTTAAATGATAATATTTGTTAAAAATATATTTGAATATGATATACAATACGTATCAATACGTGACAGACTATAAACAATGCACTGTTTTATTTTTGTAAATTATGTGTAGTTTTCCAGACTATATAGAGAGATAATGTCATAATATCGCGTTTATAAATACATATTTTGTTATAACTGATGTATAATTTCTATAAATTCAAATCAGTCTGCGCGTGGCACCACACACGGAGAGTGGTATTTTTTATTTATATAGTTTTAAATAATATACCGACTACCAAGTCACAAAATGAGTGAAAAGTGGTCCAAAGAAAAAATAATTAATTTAATCGAATTATATGAGTACGCCAGTTGCTTATGGGACACAAAATCTTCCGATTATAAAAATAAAATGAAGTTTCATTTTTTTTTTAATGTTTTATTACGCATTATAACGAACGCAGCAGCGCCAACGCAGCATGCGACTTGTTCCGGATCTGACATTTTCACGACTGTTGGCAAACATATAGCGAACAAATAAATTATGAACAAACGTTTGTTGTCATGATAAAATGTTTGACAAACGTTCGATAAATGTTCGGCAAACGTTTGACAAACAATGTTTCCCCAAACGTTTGTTAGGTGTGGACGCACCTTGACAATTTTATCCACAGAGATACGTACCGAATAAACATTGCGTACAAAACTCGTAAAACTAAAATGTTTATAAATAGTCGAAAAATGGTTTAAATTTATTGAATATTTTACCATGCCTAGAAAAGGCAAATTCAAGTTTTCCGTCAAAATTTCAAGTTTCTACGAATATTTTTAACCGAATGACAATTACAAACAGAAATTGAAAATGGGTAAAAAACCACCGTTTTCGCACATTTTCCCGTTTTTTCTCACGTTGTATTCCGGGTTTTCCCGGATGTTGTGAAAACCGCTGGGAAAATCCAAGCATGACCTCCTTCAAGTACCGTCCACGCGAAATCCCCTTTCGGAAACGCCGCCACGCTCGGCCGTACACACCCGTCGAAGCAAGGTTCCCGGTAGACGTTTTTTTTCGCCGAACAAAATACAATCAAATACCATTGCAAAACCGACGAATTCTTCGGCACCCTTTGGATCTAAACGGCAAAAAAAAAAACAAAAACCATTCGAATTCATTGATAATTTAATCGTGTTGACAATCGTTAATGTACGGCAGCGATTCAAAAACAATGACAATATGTTTGTTCGGACACGCGGTCGTAGAACTGGCGGCGAGCACGACGGATGCGTTTTCGTACGGGTTTTGATGTGAAACATCTTATGGCGCGGTACAGTAGTGAGACCGACTGTGCCGTGGCGACGCCCCCCTCCTACATAGCTCGTCGGCTCAATTCTCCGAAGCTCGGCGATTTCCCCTCTATGTGCGCTGTACCGGCTTATCTGTTTTTATACGATTTATAAACGTATAATATGTACACCTATATTGTCGCGTATAAATAAATTGATAGTATATTACGTTGATTATATTGTTACGTGTATGTATATNAAATATAATGGAAGAATTAAATTTCAAGTTAACCAAAATGCAGGTCGGAGTGAAATGTCTCCGTCGTGTGCTTTTGATGTATATCCCGATTCACAATTTACTGATTCGAGCCAAAGGTTAATTTGTTTATTTTAATAAGAATGATCTCCGTATAACTTCGTCTTTATATTACAAGATAGTGAAGAAGTAAAATACTAATTAGATTAGTAGATATTAGTTATAAATTATGTTTATGACTTAATATGGTTAGTCAACGAAATGTGATAAGTGGTATTCGACGGGCCGTTATAAATACTTTTGTTGCTTATTTCAGTTATCAGCGTCCAATTGTTACATTGATACCAGCAATTGTACCATTAGAAGCATCGACTGCTACTGTCACAGAAATAACTGACGAGGCAACAGATAATATTGATTAGAGTAGTTACATTATTACATTTGCATATTTTTGTATGTCTTTGTAAATCTTTTAAGTACTTCATATGCAAATAAAAAACAAAATAGTCTTATGATATTAATTTAAAAATTATTTCATAGTCATCTTATTCACCATCTATTTTCAACATTATTACAGTAAAAAATTTTTGATGTTTCACATCTGCCAGGCGTCCCGCGACGGCTCATTTTTTTTTTTTTTATTCGTGCGAACCTGTACGTACACGCACGAACGATCCCGGCCTACCAAATACTACGCGAGCGCGCGGGCCGGGCGCGATTTGTCCGTACGCGTAACTCTGACGTACGAAAACAATGCGAACTTGTCCGGATTCCGTTGACGTTCGTACGACAATGACGACGACGCAGCCGTCTCCGGATCGGTAGAGACGGATCTTGAAGGTACAGATTATTCATTGCGTTCTAATAATAAGGTTAGGTTAATAATAAGGTTGTAACAACGGGGTTCTAATAATAAGGACGTCGCGATTGCGATATCACCTGCGGAACACCGACTGTTTTACGGGGGAAAAAAACGTATTCAGTGTGCGCAATCAATTCGCACGACACTGGTCATCCATGGTACGTTTTCGTACGAAACAAATTCGTGTACAGTGTGCGCGCGACCCTTTTACGCGGCGAGCACGCAATTTATTATTATTATTATTATTATTATTATTATTGTTATTCAATTCGTTCGCAATCGTAAACATCGAAATGCGCGATAACGGTCAACAGGCCGCGCCGGACAATTTCCGGACGTTCGTTTTTAATTTTGTCTCGAGGAGAGAGAGAAAAAAAAAAAAAGTAAAACGCGCGCGATAACGGCCGAACTGGGTCCGCCGCGTTGTTGTTGCGCTGTAGCCGTTTTGGTCGCGACGCGTTGTCCGCCGCACGGCGCGGGCGTACGTTCTCCGTCTACCGGTCGCTTTCGGTTATTCGCGTTCAATCGACGGACGCCGTGCCCCACGCGCGACGATTTTGTAATTGTTATTGTTAACGTTGCGCTTTGGCCGTTATCATTTCGACGTCGTCGTCCGCCCCCTTATCGGTTTCGAATCGATCCCGCAGCCTTGTCGACGACCGCGTTGAACCGCACTCCACGCAACCACGCGAGTTATACTGCACGGCGCCCGTCAACGGTACTCGGGAAATCGTTCAGACTCAATATTACCCGTTCCCGAATGTCAGGTAAGTGGACGAACGCAATACCATTGATTCCGGTACAGATCTAGTTTACGGCCCGAGTTCGGTTATCGTGCGTTTTTCGTTTTTTTTTTTTTTTTCAAAACGCGTGTTTTCGCGTGTACATCAAGAATGTAACGGGATAAAAAAAAAAAAAAAAACCACGTGCGAACTTCGGAAGTTACGGGGACCGCTTCTTAAAGTTCGGGTTCTTTCCATTTGCCAGTTGGAATTAAAAATTTTCAAATTTCCCCCCCCCTTTTCCCCAAAGTGTGTGTTTTTAAATGGTCAACTTGTTGGCGTAGTCAAAACGTACCTATCGTACTTACTTCTATAGCTTTTGTACACTGTCCTTGAGAAATAGTATTTTCGGAATTAGTCCAATGACCGCGTGGTCAAAATAGACATTTTTATTATTCGTAGTTATTGATATTTTGATAACAAAGTTTTTTTCATCGAAGTTGGAACAAGTATATCTGGCTTACGTTAATACCAGTTGAAAGACGTTCAAACGCCATATGCCAATGACGCGAAAAGTTGTCGATCGTGACGATTATGACGATTATGACGCGTGACAGTAACTCGTTCAATAACTACAAGTAATAATAATTATGAAAAAAAAAAAAAAAATGTCTATTTGGACCACATTTCGGATTAATAGCAAGAATGCTATTTTTCAAGGTTTATGCACAGAAACTATAAAAGTAAGTATGATAATTAACTTTTGATTTTACCGTGATTATACCAATGGATCAAGCATTTTAAAAAAATCACATTTTGCGAAAACAACTTTAAAATGTTAAAACCTGAATTTTATGCATTTTTTCCTCGTAACTTCTTAACAAAGTAGTCTGACTTTTTTACATTCTTAATGTACAAATGTAAAAATACACATTTTGAAAAACTTGCCTGGGCAATAAACTAGATTTGTTCTGTAATTTGATTTAAATTGTACTTTAGGTTTTGTAGATAAATTGATAAAACATGATAGTAATTAAGAGTGAGAAAACTGATTCGCAGCACTGCTGCTAAAGAATTTAAATAAAAAGGGTAGTAGTTTTGGTTAATAGTTGTGTTTTTTTTTTTTTTTTTTATCTAGTCAATGTGGAGATGGACTGTGTTATTTATTTATTTTCAGGAAGATATACTGGGGCGTTAAAATACAGGGATAAAAATTAGTAAGAATATCATGATGATGATAAACAAAGGATATAAAACGTTTCATTTTCTCCAGTTAAGTAATAATATTAAAAATAGTTAAACGCTAATTTGTTTACACAATAAGTAACCCATCAATAGGTTTTATGGAATAGTAATATAATTAATCTAATTAAATAAATATTAATAATTTAATTTTTTGTATATTTACTCTTTATGACACTTAATTTTACATATTTATGCAAACATATCAACAACTTCTTCTAAGTTTAAAAGTTAACATTACTCTCCTTTAACATTTATTACTTTTAAATCATACAATTATTTCATCCCCATGTGTACTTCTAAAGAATGATTTAATGTGTTATAAAACAAAATCACTTATTGGTAGTTGTAGTGACAGGCAGAGTTAATAAAATAGTCAACATTTTTAGTTTCAGTAAAATCGCTTGGAAGTTCAGAGTTTTAAGTATTAAATACCTAAGTATCTGGTTTTTGTATATTTTGACTTTCAATGAGGGCTTAAGCAGTAGAGAATTCAGAAATTATAGATCTAAAATAAAATTAAAAATCTTTATAATGATTAATACAATTTTACCAATAGCAGGTTCCTCGACTTGATATTCTCATTAAATAGGTGTCGCTAGATTGTATAATGTTTTTTTTTTAGCAGATGCAGTAATGAACAACTACGACTATGACAGTGATGCCTCCGTTAAGGACATAGAAATTATGATTCAGAAACCGGACCAATATTCCACAACTATACATTTTGATTCTGATACATCTACCGATGGTGTTTCGGATACAGCAACAGGTATATTACCAGTTAGTTATATGTGTTGTAACACCCGATTCTTATTAGTATGCCATTCCTTACCTGATTACTTATTTTTTTTCTGCGGTCTATGGACAATCACCATAATAATAATTAGATTCGTGTCGAAATATCCATAACGCCAGAAATTATAAATGAATGTCATATATTACCACAAACAGTTTTCTACTTGATAATCTCATTAAATAGGTGTCGCTAGATTGTATAATGTTTTCATTTTTAGGAGATGTAGTAACGAACAACTACGACCATGACAGTGATGCCTTCGTTAAGGACGTAAAACTTATGATTCAGATACCGGACCAATGTTCCACAACTATACATTTTGATTCTGATACATCTACCGATGGTGTTTCGTGTACAGCAACAGGTATATTACCAGTTAGTTATATGTGTTGTAACACCCGATTCTTATTAGTGTCATTCCTTACCAGATTACTTATTTTTTTTCTGTGGTCTGAGGACAATCACCATAATAATAATTAGATTCGTGTTGAAATATCCATAACGCCAGAAATTATAAATGAATGTCATATATTACCACAAACAGTTTTCTACTTGATAATCTCATTAAATAGGTGTCGCTAGATTGTATAATGTTTTCATTTTTAGGAGATGTAGTAACGAACAACAGTGATGACAACGACGTTGTGTCGTTCACGATACTACGTATCACTGTCACTGACCATGACAGTGATACCTTCCTTAAGGACGTAAAACTTATGATTCAGATACCGGACCAATGTTCCACAACTATACATTTTGATTCTGATACATATATAAAAATCAAGATTTAAATTAAAATAAAAAGTTGTTATGTCAACATTTTTAGATAAATAATAAACTATCTTCAAATATTTCAAAAATAATAAAATGGAAAGTTATGTTTTTAAGTTTTTTTTATCAAAAACTTGATACTTAGATTTTTCACAACATTTAAGGAGACAATACTAACTTTGGTTTGGCATAAGAGAACCTATATTAAAAATTACAAAATTACATAAATAGACGGAATATTACTTTAAATATATTTTGGTGTTAAAATGTTTAATTTCCGTCTACCTGTTAATGAGATATTCCACATTTAAGTTTAGTTAAGAGGGAAGTAGTAGAGTATCATTTATGTGGTTGCACGGCATGCACTATTTTATAAGTGCACCACAATTTTTCCTTTACCTTATTTATTGTATGTCTTTTTAGGTAATTTTTAATATAGGGTCTCATTTGAAAAATCTAAGTTGGTATCACCACAGGGTACTCTTTAAATGTTGTGATGAATTTAAGTATTTAAGATTAATAGTTTTAACTACACTTAAAATATAAACTTTTATATCTTTGTTGGTTTATTATATTTAATTAAGTTTTGTTTATTTAAATATTCATTTTTTTATCTAAGGGAAAATATAAAACTTTTGTAGGACTGAAATATCTTTAATGATGTATTATAACCAATAATGTTCATTATTTATAGCAATTAAAGTTTGACTGATACTAATACTACTGACATTATTTTTTATTTTTTGAACATGACCATTATTCTGTATCATTTTCTTTACATAATATACATCATTGACAGTACCGTGCACCATTAAATTACTCGAGTAAGGTCTCTTGGCAAATATAAGATTATATTAATACAATTGTAAAATTAGTAGCACATATTAATTATTTATAATATTCAAACAAATTATGTATGCTAAATAATAATATTTATATTACAAAGTATAAATATCTGTTCTTTATTTAAGAACGATAAAAAATTATAAATAATGTTTGGAGAAGAAACAAGTGAAAAATTATTTAGTATGTTGTATAGTACATATTAAAATGTTTATTAATCTAGTGTATTTATATTTTTATTTTTATTTTTTTTTTCCAATAACTATGTCAAAAATTAATATCCCATCTTTTGAACATGAACAACATAAAAAAGTAACAATTAGACAAAATAAACCAAAAGATTTGACAATTGAAAAAAATAAACCAACAAATGTAGATATTATAGAAATAGAACTAGAGGAAGTGGTAATTAAACAAAATGAATCGGAGGGAGTGATTATTGAAGAAATTGAAATAGAAGACTTAAACATTGAACAAAATGAATTAGAGGAAATGAAAGACCAACCAGAAGAAATAATATTGGGTAAAAATCAAGTAGAGAAAGTAAAAAAGTGGCAAGAAAACCAAAAGATACTATTGGAAAATAAAGGTAATAATATTTTATTTGATAACAATAATAATTATATAAGGATCATAAAAATATGTAATGTACTTCAAATTTTGTTATGCCATTTTAATTAGAAGCCACTGAAGTAATAGAAATAGAGTTACTAAAAAATTTAGCTAAAATGCATTTAGAAAATTGATACAAATCGAAAAAGCTAAAATAGCTAATCGGTAATTAAATTTAAATAAATATATATCAATAAATTATGCATTTCAATTTTGTTCAGTGTACACCATAGACATGTTAAGAAATATAATTTCTTAACATGTCTATGGTCATGATCAGTGCTACTAGGTGGAGATACGCGCCGCCAAACGAAATCTGGCTGCGGAAGCGGTATGTTTTCTTTTGAAATAGGGTATAGTTTAGTTGGGTGTAGTGTCAAAAATGTGAAATGTATAATATATTATTGAAGTTTATTTATTTATTTTTTTCTAGTTTCTTTCTCCAACTAGATATTTGTGTGTATTCTAGAAATTCATACTGTTAACTGTCTGTTATCTAGAAACGCTAACAGACCGATCTGTTAAGATTTAGGCGAAATTCAGCCTGGTACCGAATCTCAAAACTTTGTGATTTCCAGTCCAAATACAGTGCTCGTGAGAATGTGGCACGCATGAAGTCCATCATGCTTAAACTACAGCAGATCCCATTGAAAAAATCTAACAAATCTTCCAAAATAATTTGTAATTTTCGCATATCTTAAAATTACTATTCTAAGAAGTAAATTTTTATTTTTTTTTTAACTGATTATTATTTATAAATCTAAGTTCTTTGATTGTTTTTTTTTCTGTACCATTATTTAAGATAAACATTTTTATTACAATTCTAGGGGATATAACAATATTTAATTTTTTTTTTTTTGTTTGTCAATAAAGTGATAAGTTGCTTTTTCACTTGAGATACAAAAAAAAAAAAAAAATATCTGATACTGTAGATGAGTGTACCATTGTTGTAAGTGTGATTTTAGCAATATAGGATTCATAAAGTAAATTAATTTATATTTGTATACAGCAATAAATGATTGCTAATAAAAAGAAATTCTGAGTGGAATTCGATTGACAATGTTGCTTTGTCGACAATGTATAATATGCCATTATATGGTAAAATAATTACATAAACATTTTATTTAATAATATTTGTTTAATATTGTACCCATTTTCCTGTTTTTCCTACATTTTTATCCAGTTTGTAACGTCCAAAAACGACCATTTTCCGTTATCAAAGGGCGAGTATACCTACAATCGATATGATCGACCGGTTAATAGATTACGCCCGCGTCGACGGATATGTTATGTCATCATGAACAATAATCCCCTCCCCCCCGCGCAAAGGTTTATGCGTTCGCAATCTTTCGCAATTTACAATAATATATTCCAGACTACGGGTTAACGGCCAATCAGATCACGTTTCCCCTTATCGCCAAAAACGTCGGCCCGCGGCGACGTGTGTCACGAACGTCTCCGCGCTCCGCTACCTAGTTTTCTTTTGTTTGTTCGTTCCTTTCCTTCTTCGTGTCTAGAACACGTCTCGAGACTTTGTCACCAGACGGTCTTCCGATACAGTTCTTTTACTAAAACACTCCCGTGTATTGCACGGATTCACATATTTTGCCATCAAGAAAGGTCGTGTACCTTGGCACGTTTCCTGATGGCGCCTCAAACGAACCGATGAAATGAGTCCCGATCCGGTCCGCCGGGCGGACATCTTCGGGCGAGATGAATGGTAACGTACATGTAATTTAATTTGTTGGTTAGTTTTTAAGGTAGTTGAGTTAAGGTCCCCCGTATAAATATTTTTTGTTTTCTTTCTCTCGTATGTTAAATTCGTGTACGATATAATATGTTATGTTAAATTCTTCCGATATACTTACGGGGATCAACCAGCGTCTATTAGGTTGGCGCGTCCGTCTCATTATAATAATCCCCGCGTTCCACATCCTATGTGCGATAAGCAAACCCCCCCCTCCCTCCCTCGGATTTTGTTTCTTATTTTTATTTGTATTCCCTTTAAGCGCTAAGTTTCGCAACTACGTGTGTGCGCGTGTCTAAAAAAAAAGAATATTCATAATATCGATCGATATCTTCCCCACCTCCGCGATCCATATTCGGACGCGCCCCGCAGGTTAACCCATAGGGCCACCACAACCACGGACCAAACAACTTAGAATAAAAGCGTTCAGCTACCCTTCCCGGTTATAATATGTGTGGCCTGGCAAACTACACAATACATCAAAAAAGACTTTGATACTTGCTAAAATGCAACAAAAAAGGTCTCTTGGTATTTTTTGATTAAAACAAGTTTCTGTTTGAAAATTTATTTACAAACAGAAAAAAAATTGTATAGTAAAACCAATAAATCATTTTCTGCTCAGTGTCCAAAAACCATATGTATGCTGATCAACATCCTATATTTAATCTAACGATATTTACTTACCAAACTTGTTTTTTTCTGTACTCAATTTATAGTACTCAATTGGATGGCAAAGTACCTGTACTAAGTACATTTAAAAAACAACCAAACGTGATTACATTATACGTATGTATCAGGGGTGATCAAACGGGAGGGGACGCCTCTCCCCATTACTTCATTTCTCTTAAATATGTATAATATTATACAGGTTGATTTTTTAAGTGAAAAATCTAAATATGCGAAGATATTATTGTTTGCTGCATTTAACACGTTAACCACTAAAGGGTTTTCCACTATGTTCCTTGAATTTGCCATGAGATCTAATTCTAAATCTCAGTAAATTACTTATGGCATTCTTTGTTCCTATGGACAATTTTTCTACCAGCAATTTTGTTACAAATTTTAATGATAGAAATTTTTCTTATAGGCAATTTCACTAGAGAAGTACTTTAAAGACGTAATTTTTCAATTTTCTCAAAAGTTTTCTCATTAAATTTGAAAAACGGGATAAAACGTAGGTAAACTGAGAATATTGGTACAACTTATAACAAATTTGATTGAAGAAAATGTATAAAGCCTATTTAATTATTTTACTACATGACATATATATTGTTGACGAAGCATCACTATCAACTAAACTCTGCTCAGAATCGTTTTTTCGTAAGCAATGATTTATCGTTGTTTACAGACATGCATTAAATTCCCATCCATATCCTATCTTGCCAACTTTCCACCTACACCTGTGGCTGCACCCGTCCCCATTATCTTACCTTTTTCTGTATGAGGTTTAATTTGAGATCTCACGGTAGGTAATATGAAAATAATTATTTTATTGAATAGTGACATCTTACGGTCATGAGATCTAGTTCGAGATCTCGGGTCATATTTATTTAAAAATATTAATTGTGGACAGTAATAAAAAGAAATATAAATTTTAAAAGGAATAGAACATTTTTTAGTAGACTTATAAAAAAAAACCTTTGGCGGTTAGGACAAAGTATGATGAGATCTCATGGCGGTCAATGTGTTTTAAAAATTAAAAAAAATCATAATTTGAATTTGTGCATTATTTTACCAGACAAATGGGTGAGCATGCTTAAAAATTCACTCTGTTTATTCTATATTTATAGTTGTAAAAAAGGGTTATATAAGTAATAATAGTTCTTAAAAATTATCCTAATCCTCCCTCCTTCCCCCAAATCATTTGAATGCTACTGGTATGTATATAAAGTTCTTGTTAGAAAGTAAACAGACAATTATAGTCATGTATTGCAGACATTATTTACTCATTGACCATTGCGAATAAACAACAGGATTTCCGTGCGGGTGTTACGTCTTATGTGAAATTTAAAAGCAATTAGGTATATTATTGTTACGGAATATAAATGTTCATTGATTTGTATCCAAAGAGTTTTCTTGAAAAACTAATTTACTAATTTCTTTAAATATTTGTCAACGGGCTCTATTATAACTAGACGAGTAAATTACGAGTATATATGTATAAAAAAAAAAAAAACAATTAATTTCAAATAAATCGTATACAATTTAATTATTAAAAATAACACTATTGAATTACACTTAATATTATAAGATAAAAAAAATAGTATTTTATATACACTTTTAAACGTTTCATAATATAATACTTAATTTAATTAAGATAAAAATTAATAGTATATTAAGTTTAAAAAAATAAAAATGAAATTTTATTATAATTTTAGTTCAATGAAAAGAAAAAATTTTTTACATATTTTTATTGAAAAATTATATTACTACATAGATAATTAACTTTAATAATTATACACCATAATGTTAGTAGGTACCAATATACACTTTGTGGCTTGATGCATATATGCTTACACACAGGGCGATTCTTTTGGACTTGGTAAATTTGATTTTTTTTTTCAGATATACCATCATCATACTTACTATCATTTAACGATTTTATTTACCTATCGAGTTTTCGAAATGTTAACTTTGTTTCATACCCATATACCATAAACACAAATAAACTTTCGGCTTTCAGAAGCGTAGGTAAGGGTTATCTTAACATGGATATATTTTTTCTTTTTCTTAAATGATGGAATAAAACGAAATCTTCGTGGATAGTATCTGGTTCATGAATAATCATCCTGCATGACGCATATTGTATTTGAAAAACCTGGAGGGAGAAGACTAAAAAATGAATTAGATTGTAGTTTAAAATACGAAACTACTGAAAAATTCCCCTCTGCACGATTAATAATCATCGTTGTATTTGTACACCCTAGCGATGACTTCCCTGTTGGGCGGCGGCAATCGGCCCGGGGTCAGAGGCAGGGGTCCGATCGGAAACGATTTCCGCCGCCGGTCAAAGGGCATCGGCGGTCGCAGGTGCGCGGATTTCTGGAGGAGCTGGCGGCGCTGTTGCGTGTGGCGCAAGTGCTCGTGGTAATGGGCGAATTGTTGCTGCCGGGCCCGGGCCAATGTCTGCCGGGCCTGGTCCAGCGAGTTGTGCTCGTCTTCGTCCGACGACGATTTCTCGGAGTACGGCACCGCGGCCGTCATGGTCTTCTTTTTCGGGTCCATCAGCACCACGTGATGGTGGTGATGGTGGATTGTCTTGACGCGTCTTGGTACGTAGATTATGATCCTGTGAAAATCGTCGAAATTAACAGGGGTGTGTGTGTGTGTAAAATATATGGGAGAATTGTTTGGAAATTTCGTTGAAAAGTGTTTTCAATAAAAGTATCGCCGGACGAAAATTGCGCGTTTTCTAAGGTATAGCGTTAATTTTTACTCGCCAAAAACCGAAAAACCAGAAATAAAAAAAAATCCCTGTAAAAGTTATTACACTCGGAATCTAAAAGACGTCCCAAATACACACCGGTATAGGTGGTGAAATGAGCAAGCAATTGTTTTAAGTGAAAAGTTTAGAAAGTAGGACATATTATACACACATATATATATATATATAGAGTAATATAATTTATATCTGTTTACATGAAGATAAATCATTGCTAAGGGAAAACGATTCAGAACGAAGTTCGGTTAAACGTGTTTTGAAATAGCGCGGTATTTACGATTTTCATACATTTTATTATTTAAAAAAAAAAAAAAAAAAACCTATTAAAATTACTTCAGGGTTACGGGAAGTTTAAATTTCAACAAAACTGATTATTTAATCGTTTCTGTTTGGCCAAAACAATTTATCTACATTAAATTATAAAAAGTCTCGAAAACGTGTACATTGCCTCGAAAACTGTCAGACAATATTTGCCTCGTTTAGACAAAGGCGTGGGATACATATTTCAGCCAAAACGAACCTTTCACGTTTCGGCCATTATGTAATATCTGTGATATTGACTATCATTTTATTTTGGTTCAACCAATGTAAAAATTCAAGAAATGTTCTAACCTTTCAACAGGCGCGCTGCTCTAGTCATATGAGCAGGCGCGTCATACGACAGCATATTTTTCTAATAATATATTATATTATTTTTAAATAAAAGGTCAATAAATAATTTTCAATACAAATATCGCACGTTGATTTTTTACTCTTATATACAAATCTACAATTTTGTTCCAATCTGGATGAAACGTTGCCCACACTTTACGTTCAAAACAAGAGGAATGTCGCTGTCTGCTTTTTATACTTTTTTTTCGGTACGAAAATTTAATTTTTGTCCATTTGTTAGTAGTACCTTGGTGATACCGATGGAAAAAAAAGAAGGCGTTACCAATTAGTTAATAGTTTGGTTGTGTCACGGACAAGTAAATTAATTTTTAAACATTTACTGGCTACACCGGTTAATTCCAGTGATAAGGACGACGGCGATTGTGAGTCACGGGGAAACGCATTTTTTCCGTTCTACCCGCTGACACGGACAAACCGTTCAGCACTGACGGTGGTAGTATAAAATATAATTAATAATAGAAACGCAATTTTCCTTAAAATACTAAATTAATCCATTAGTCTGATAAACCATTACCGCTTTTGTATTTCTCAAAAAATCATTTCATTTAATTTTAATTAAATTTGATTAAATTACATTTAAATTACTTTTACGTATTTCGTGTGATCGGACGGAATTTACGTAATTAAACGTCAATAATGATTTTATTTAGCGAAACGAATGCAATCCATATCCCATTTATTCACGTGTACAAATGTTATCTCATATCATTATCTCCTTTCTACAATAATTATCTGTTAATATTGTCATTATTATTTTCGAGTTAATTTTGAATCACAAATGCAAAACTCGATGGATGTGTAGATCGATCGTGTAGTGTTAAATTATACATTTTCCGTCGCATATTCCGCTGCGTTTTTCGTCCGGTGGTTTATACACGTTTAGCCCAAGCGTCGTCTTGCATGACATTTTCTTTGGGCACATTCCGTCGCGTTTTTTTTTTTTTTACAATATTTCAAATATATTGCACGTTTCATTATTGTGTGGATTATAAATAAACCCCGTATTACCATACTTATTAATATTTCACATTTAATAAATTCTTTGGCCCACGTTGTCGTAGTATGAAAATTTGTTACTGTTTAAAAGATGAATATCATCAACTGTTGTCTGTCATAAAAGGCCATGTTGGCAGCCCCGGATTAAGAGGGGGGGTGGCAAAAGGAGACCAACGAGAAATAGAGTCCTACAAAGCCGATATTATGAGTCGAATCGAATATTTTAGATTTTTTTTTTTTTCATTATTTGTTCAATTTTAATATAATAGGTCCCTTTATTAATATAATAGGCCTCCCGGCTCCCACAACCCTTAATCGGGCCTGCGTGTTGGCACTTTTACCATATGCAATCGATTGTATTTGTGAACCGGGTTCTCAGCTTATGTATCGACGAAAATGAAATACCGCAACAGACTTGATGTCGAACCTGACACGATAATTCAACTTTCATCCATGATACCTAATATTTGTTACGGGCGTCGCCTCACTCCCTAAAAATATATCGTATTATTTAGCGTGAAGCGTGGGACTTGCTACAGCACAATAATAGGTGATTTACCACGCCGCAATGCGAACGGCTATGGTAAGAAATGTACGTTTGAATATTCGGAGTATTAATATAACACGGACGTCAATAGCCGATCTAACACCTATGTGTGCATTTAACAAGACCCGGTTATTGGGGGCCATATGCGTGAGGTTATTGTCCGACTACTCAACAATTGTCGAAAAGCGCGGACTAAGCATATCTAGCTGGGGGGTCCAGGGGATATAATATACCGGCAGTCGAAAACACCTTTTCAGACGAGTCTCACCACTTATCATCTGCAAGTACTTTCACGTCAGGTAGAATTGTAAATTTAATTAAAAGTGTTTGAATATTTTTCAACAATAAATAAATATACTTATAAAATTACTGAGTACGATATTTCCGACGTCGGTCATAAGTATACCTGAACTTAAGTTTGAAAATACGCCCGCAACATATTAAGTATATCTGTAATAATAAAAATCGAAGCCATTATTAAAATTAATAAGTCCGGTTAGTCTGTTATTTTAATAACTTTTGGTTAATTTTGAAAGTATGTTTTTTGTCAAATAAATATTATTATTGTTTGAAATAGTTGTTATTTTTATTGCATTAATAATATTGAAGCAAAGTAGGGATTCCATGATAAAAATGGACATTGAAGGGGTTTCCTCCACTCGTAAAACTAAAAACACGAAACGCTGTGTATTAACCGGTAGAATGGCATAAGATAACGACACACGGTTAACAAAATATTAAAAAATTCAACTTCTAACGTTTGAACTAATTTTCTTTAAATATCCGTAAGATTGTACTAGCAGATCCGTTGTCAGTTCATATTATTCTATCTTAGTTAGATGCATGGTTATTATATTTATCTGTAACAAGATCAGTATGACAGTATAAAACTAATAAGGATTTGTAAACATTGCTCGAATGACAAATGGCGCTCGTAATTCTGTACGGTTTTGTGCACGGAGTCTGGTGTCTATAGTATTTATAGTACAATACATCTGTGATTCCGACACCGACAAACCGACAAAACTTTCTATACCAGAGTCGTGTCGTGCCGCGCCGTACAAAATATGTGTATCGGGCTTATTTTTTATACTCTTATCATCTAAAAGTTGTATCAATAGAAAAAAAAAAAAATCTTTTATAGTTTATTTAATAGTAAAACATACTTAGATATTGATAATAATAATAAAAAAAACAAATATAACTAGTCGCTCGTCAATTGCTCAGTTTTCTTTTCTCATCACCCGAGGACAAGTGAGTACCTACAATAAGTATTTCGACGACATTGCCGTGATAAGACATCGCTATATACGGCGATAATACGGTATACCTATCCACCGCGAGGGTCGAACCGACTTTGCCCTCTTCCCTCCCCCCCTCCCCATTGGAGCCGCTGGTGGGCAGGCATGCGTATAACATGAAATTATATGTCATCTGTGCGTACGACACTGTGTTAATTTGTTAATTTGTTTTTACGATTACAATCGATGTACAATCGCGGTAACTGCGCAGAAAAAAAAAAAAAAAAACCGTGTGCAGCCGCCTCGAGCATTATCGAAAAACCGACACGCGCTACGAGTTTTTCGATCGTATAACAACTTAACGTGCATGCGTTACACGATGTAAACGCGGTGTATACACCTCGACGACGACGCCTGGAATACAAACGGATTTCCATATAGGTATACGGGCATACCGCCGGATTTTACGCGTACGCGATTCGTTCGAGAGCCGCGGAGCGCAATGTATTTTTTTTCCCCCCCTCGACACTATAATAATTCGACGGGACATGTTAACCAGGCCCGCGATAAACGACAATTTATACATTTTCGTCTTATATAAGTCGATTCAAAGCCGAACGTTTATCAATAAACGGCGACCCGGTCACGCGCGCGTGCCGTTTTTAAACGCGTTCGAGCGGTTCTCGCAGTATACTATTTTGCTATGCTTGTGTCGTCACTCGCTGCCGCGCCCCGCACACCAGAGCGTATGTGTGTACACATCTATATTAGATTTTTATTACTGTTTCGACCGTTTTTACGGCGAACAATAATTTTCAAAACGAAATATCATTTATATATATATTGGTCGGCAATGCGTGACAAAATAATTTTAATAATAACCGGACAGGCCGCGCGATGTTGTACCTACGAGCGTACGGTAGTCGGTAATAATAGTGGTGGAAAAAAATGACCATAATATACCGAAATGACCAGCGAAAAATGGCGACACGGACAAAATTATTCAAATCACGTTATTTCATTTATCCATATTTTCCTTTTTAGCCGTTTTGGTACCGTGCAGGATGGTTTTTCACTAGGCGTGCTCAACTCAACTTTTTTTTTTTTGTGGTTAAATTTTAAGTGTATTGAAATTCTGATTTTTGAAATTTGAATGTATGCAAAATTAAACAAAAAAAAAAAAAAAAATTTGAATGAGTACACTTAGTGAATCATTCTGTATATGTTTTTGATTTGGCCTTTATTACCTAAACTGGTGAGACCATATAGTCACAGTAATATTGTGTATAGCATATTCAGTGGCGTGTTTATGGAGAGGAAGATTTTCATTTCTATTGTCACACAAATTCTATACCTAATATATTATTGATATTATTGATCGACTTGGTTTGATTTAAGTGGATTTTTAGCCGTCTAAATTGTGTTAATTCATCCTATAAAAAAAAAAAAGGTTCTCAAATGCGCCACTGAGTATATCATTTATAGGATATGTAGTCGTTTAGTTTTGTAGGCACAAAAATAATCGGACTAATTGCTAAGATAGATAAGGAAAGGTATGGTGGGGGGGGGGGCATTAGAAAATTGTAAGTTTCCCAAACCGTGCATTGAGCTGACCGCAGAAAAAAAAAAAAAACACACGTATTGTAGTAAAACCAATATTATTACTGTCCCAAAAAATAGATAATATTAAAACTGTCACCAATATGTGACTCTTTTGAACCGAAGATATCAATATTAGCAGTCAATAAATTCACAGGATCGTGCTAAGAAAATTGAAAAATTGACCAATCAAGTGTACTAAAGGAAATGACACTCGAAACCTCAAATTAAAATTAAAATAATTGGAGAAAAACGAAAAATTAATGAAAAACATTACTTAAATACACCTGAATTGTCACTGCGTTTGTTAGTAGTTAAGCATGCAATCATGCAAGGTGCAACTAATATCTATATATAAGTATTATCCGGGTTTCCATTCTGGATGTAGGTATAACAGAGAAGTCGCTTTTATAAAATTAACATATGTGCTAGACGATTATAATATTATAACAATATATAGCAACTTCCAATTACAATTTTGATATTATTTTTAATATGTTGATACTTTCACTTTTATCACTCGCATATAAACAAAAAAATGTAAGAATGATATAAATATTATGTTATCAATAGCCAATATTAACCACAATGGCACTATTCATCGATAATAAACGTGTTAAAAAATATACCTGCCTATCGTGAAAATCACATTGAAAATTATTGATTTGTATTATTATTTTTTAATTATGCGTTACGAAATATACTCGAACCTGCGTGTCCGAAATCTCGGATTTTCGGTAACTATGTAAATTAATATAAGTCGAATTTTTATGAATCATTATCAATTATTTAACAATAAATCCATTGTGCGATTGAATAACGTTTAAATCGTTGGAAACAGTTACGTGTCGAAAATTCGACTATTATTTGAAATACACGGATGTACTTATACCTAAGTATAGTTCTTTTTGTATTTTTGCAACAACGGCTGAGTGCTCCCCATCCACCCGAATTTTTACATAATAATGTTCATTGTCCAAGACTGATCGACGGTGATCCATATTGTATATAATTATCGGCTGTTTTCTATGACTTCAACATCTCGATAAAAAAAAATGACTGGGTAGTTATAGACGAGCGTAATAATTCATAAAAAATGTGCATCCAGCAAGCGTTATGTAATAATTTCTTTAAAACGAAAATTATTTTCAAGACTGGTTAAACGGTGTAAAAGCGCAACAATTTTAAACGAGTTTGGAACCAATTTCGTCATTTTAGCTTTTTTATAGATCGAAAATTGTTATTATATTTTTAGGACCGCGACCCACATGGTTTCACTTTCCAAAAAGTAGTTTTAAAACAGCTGGGAAAATCAAAAATTTAAAGAGGTACCCCGGTTAGATTTCAGAAACCTAAAAATCGAAGTGGCGGTATTGCTGGTAGAAAAGTTGAAAAGTTGTTCACAAATAAAAAAAAAAAATAAATAAATAAACACCATTGTAAAATCTAATACATTTCTCGCTCCGCTCAGAATCTAAAAAACATAAATGTCTATATAATGTGAAATAATTTTCGCGGCCCACCAAAAAATGACCTAGGACTCGCCAGTGGGTCGCGACCCACAGTATGAGAACGCTGATATAGAGGCTTTTTCACCCATAAACTGGTAAATAGTAATAAAATTGTCAGACGTTCTTAAAATATTTTTATAGATTTTTAATGCTATGTTAAAAAACATTGAAATATAGGGCTATAGGAATTAAAGTATATGCTTTTTAAAATCACCGATTATATCATAATCAATGTAAAATTAAAAAAATTAAAAATCTTTATCGATTTACAATAAATCTGTATAGTCTTTTAATTCAGCGCCAGTAAAACTGCAAAATGTATCGATTAAAGATTAAAATATCATTCACAGAATCCATAGATGAACTAGGATGAAGAATATTTATCCATAATCATCATGTTTGATTATAATTTTTTTTTTGAAAAAATAGTAGGTACTCGGTACTGAAAAACGAACAGTACTAATGAAAACTAAACATCGTTATTTTATAACAAAATAATCGATACAATTTGCATTTGTCATCATTTTATAAAATTACATGTTGGTTAAGTTTATACTATTATACTTTGTCGCATGTCGGAAATTATTCAAGTCGCGTGTTGTGTTCTATTAAACATCGATTTTGTCTCAAAATATACCTCCCTATTTTTCTGTGTTTATTTTGTACATATTATGTACATTTGTTATTTATTTTTTAATAAATGTAATGTGTGTATTTTACAAATAAAAATAGTAATAACGTGGTTTATAAAAAATTATACTCTACTTAACTATGCAAGACTATTCGAAGTTATTGATAACAGATGATACTTAGGCTACTTAGCTATAGTTAATTTGGTTTTGAATTATTTATTTATTGCATTTTGTATAGGTAAATTAATATAGTATAGGTAATTAAAAGTATGCATTTTTCGGTCTCCTTATCAATCAGTGCCGTCTAGGAAATCTTTCGATGGTTCAGGGCAACATTTTTAATATAGTGAATATAATATTTTATATTATTACCTATGTCGAGATAGAACTTTTTGATTTTCTGTATTTTACTAAAATATGATGATGGTTTTGACGTAAATCTTAGAGCAAATACACAGACTAAAATCCTGATCACAAACATTTGAAAAAAATAGTAACACTTTTATATCGGGAACCCAAAACTTTGTGCTTTATGTATAGTATCCCTCCTCCCCTGCGAGATCCACCACTGCAAATAGTATTCATACCTATAGAACTAATTATATAATTTTGAAATACCTATAAGTTTTCACTTTTATTTAATCGAAAACTATAATCTCGTAATGTATTACTTTTTATGGCGTATATATCAGTATTCCAATAACTGATATTTTCTCTACGACCGCGACAGCTTTTCAATTAAAATAATTCAATCTGTTTAAAGTATATAGAAAAAATAACACACACACACACACACACACTTGTTTTAAACGCTTTCGATTAAAATATTATCTATTTTTAAAATAGTTTTAAATTTCTCTTTTAATATTATTGTATAAAGAAACGCAGTATAAGTATGAAATAAATGCACGGTAAAAAGGCGAAGCAGAATTTGTATAAGCGGAAATATGTCTTGAATATACGAGAAATGCTTTGAGTAAACACCTGGAAATAAAACAAATCACATAGGTTTCTAGAATCTCCGGAACGCACGATTTTTCGATATATATATATATATATATATATATATAAGTATTCAATGTTAACAATAATTAGGTATAGATGTATCTAAGTAAGTAATGGGTATACTATACGTTTTACACAATGAATGATTATAATACGCTATTTGAAATTCGTAATGAATTTGTAAAAATGTTTCCAAACGCACGATCGCGTATGGTAGTATATACCTACATTGTACATTGTACATTTACAAGTACCCAGTGTATCTAGTAGTCGATGTGAGATAGGTAAGCTTTTTAAAACTATTTACACGAACGATATTAATAGTCTGCTGGATGATTTACATAATTGTTTATATGCTATAGGCGCCCGGAAAATTAGAAATCTGCTCATGCCGTTTTCGTTGCAAAACAATTAACTGTACTATTACTGGTGGATGACAGGTATTGATACAAAAAGTAAAAACTACCCGCGGAATAAGATAATATAATTTTATCCAACGATACTATTGTGTATGTTTTCGTACAACGCAACAATAATTTGTATGATATTCCATGTAGTCTTACATGTGTGATACGTAGTCTTGTTAGAAATTGTATTTTTAGTTGTTTAGTTTATATCCGCGCGTAAAAATAAATCCCTGTTAACGAAATACATTCCGAGTGAAGTTCTATGAAACATGTTTTGAAATGTCCGTAAAAATATGAACTTAAACGTTTATATAAAAAAAAACTACTACATTAAGTTCAACTTTTTTTTAAAAAATTATATATTTTTTTGTACCACAAACTATACAACTTATGATCAACCTTGTGTAAAATTGTCAAGCATAAATGCTTGGTCAAAACAATTTTTTCTGCAACGAAATAAAAACTAAAAAAATCCGAAAATGTCAAATACATAGCTCAAAAATCACGACAATATTTTGGCAATTTAACCACGTCTAGCAAAAGCTATTATAGATAAATATTCTGTTCAAATTTCAAATATCTACAATAATATTTAACCGAATTACAGCAGAAAAATAAAATCGAAAATAACCAAACCTTTATTGTCGTATTTTCGTTTCTCCTAAATGTGTTACATTTAAAAATTGGAATAAGAGTTCTGATGGAAACATTTTCCACAGACACTATGTAAATGCAATATATTGAGAAAGTTATTATTTTGTTTATTTTCCTAGTAGTTTTCTTAATAAATGGGAAAAACGAGAAAATTAACGCAATAGCGAATTCTGTATTATTTTTCGATTTTGTTTTTTGGTTATAATTCGGATGTATAAATAATCGTAATTGAAGTTCGCATTGAATAATTATATTAGAAATTCCCAGACTTGGTTTAATACTAGTAATTTTTGAGCATTTTTTTCCTGAAGAGCTTCGAAAAACTAATTAGTAATGTTTTGTTTTTGCACGAACCCCATGTTTTGTAGGCGTTTTTACCTAAACACGAGTACGTGTATAGTAATAATTTTGTTTTCAAAGACCGCAATAAATTATTATACTTTAAGAATGCTTACTTTTTGTCTTCGTCACACTCGGCCAAACGTATGCAATTCTCGGCGAATAACATCATCTGTCCAAAAATCAAAAATAAAATGATATTATTAATATTTTACTGTATGTAATTTTTCTCGTACGATGTGATAATAATATTATATTCGCGGTAAACTTACGACGATAAAAATCATTTGTGAGGTCCCGAAACGCACCATCATAATGATTCAGACGTGACACTGTATTATAGTATATAATCACGGGGCTATCCGAGGCGCACTCGGTCCGTTTATCACCGGACTCGGGACGATTACAACTGATCGACTTGATAATAATAATATTATTAAAAATCACTTTGGTTTGTGTCGTGTCCTATAGATAGGGTGTCACGGACCGCTGACCCCGTAGAAATCTAATACCGTCACCGTTTCCTCTCCTTCTCCGCGCTCCCCCTGAAAAAAAAAACCAATATAGGTACCTATACGGTTTTAGACGTTTTTTTCATCATCCGTTTCTCCGCGCTGTCACACTTTATTAAGTATACACTTGTAGTTCGTATTTTTTTTTTATGTATGTCACACATAACCACATACAAGAGCGCATATGTACATAAGTACTTTTTCGAAATAACTCGTATGTTATAATATTGGTATATTTCGATTATGATATTATAATTTTAAAAAATACTTTCCACAGTGTTGTACTTGTGTATATATTGTTTCGGTTATCGTTGATGTGTACGGATTTCACCGTTTTCCACCAAAATTAAGCTGTTCCTATTCCACCAATCCACGTTTCCACCAAAAGTTCGCTGAAGCGCGAAACAAATTTTGAAATTTGACATAGTTTATACACATTAAAACACATTTTAAACATTCACAGTGTGATTAAAAAAAAACCCGTAAATATCAACTACTTAAGTACTTTAAAATTTTTCATTGCACAAATCAATATAAAATAACACAAATATAATTAATAGTGAAAAAAACAATATTTATTAGGCATATACGATGAACATAATTTTTTGCAGTGAAAACATGGAGTATCAATAAAAATAAATACATTTTTTATATTCTGACCGGAGTGAGAAATGTATTGTTTTTACAATGGTGTTTTTGTATGGGGTTAACTATAATATATAAGAAAACAGACTTAATACAGTTTAATAGTTTCGATTTTCAGAAAAAATTCGACATAAAAACCTACCGAAATGTACTTATAATACAATCGTCGTATTTATTTTGAAAACGAAATGCTTGTTCCGCTACTACACGTGTAAAACTTTTGTTATTAATTGCCTATTTTATTTCCTGCAGTTTTCCTAAAAATTATTTGAATTTAGCTATTGTTTTTCGATCGCATATAATATTGTACTTCAAAAGTAATTAAGACTTTCTCTTAATTCTCTCGATTAAAATATGACTCTAGTTTGATATGAAACAACCGGTGGAATTTTTCAAAACGGAAAAATACTGAGAGAGTTGGCTTATTAATAATAACGTCAGATTAACGCAGTAACAAAGTCGCGCGGGAAGCCGACAGCAATTTAAATTCCGTTCGGTTTCGTCTGTAAAATAATAATCTAATTCGCTCATGTATACCTAAAAGAAAGCGAAAAACGTAATTTTTTAATTACTTTTTATACCCACGCCATAGCTGCAGCAGCGCAATAATTATAGTGCCAATCTACGATAATAATATCTCACATCCGTTATGTGCGAGCGTATAGGTCTTTGTTTTCTTTTTCTTTCGTTTTCGGAAAATTCCGAATTACCACATATTTCAATATAATGTTTTCACGAGATGTAGTAATACGATAAAATACTGCAGTCCATTTTTCTTACTCTTTTGAATAGGTGTAATTATTTTGTTTTAAACAGTTACGTATCAGCCGCTGTGGTGTAAACGTTTTGTCCGAATTTCATCATTCGGAACAGTCGAGATATGCCAAAAAAAAAAAAAAAAATTACAATAATAGGTACCTACCTATTTAAACTTGATTATTATTATGTTAATGTTTCAATAACTAATTTTCATCGTGGTGGTTGTAATATTATTTAACAACTAAACTGTAACCAATAGAAAATATTAAATGCTATTAGATAACATCAAATCGATTAGGATTTTGAGTTTTGGACACCCGAAATCGCGTTACAAATATAGAATATTATATATATTTTTGATTTTGAGCGTAATTGGTTTTACAATGATACGTTTCTTTTTTTCGATCAGTTAACAAATTTTCTTACAGAAATCATGCTCTGATCATCAACTTCAGGGATGGCTTCAGGTAGCAAATGTTGTCAAGTTGGTGCAATGAGGAGGGCTTTTCGAATTTTCTTTTTAGATTTCTTAATAGTTGAGATAATCCGAGACAAAACAATAGTTAAGCGGGAATTTTTCCGCAATCACACGATTACTGTTATTATTTTCTATTTTGTTAGAAATAATCGTCGAGACTTGAAATTTTCGAAACATTTTGGGGATTTTTGAGCTATTTACAGTCTTCTGGAATTATTGAGTTTTATGTGAATATTTTTTTAGCTTAGTATAAATATTCAAGAAATATATAAAATAATTTGGTATCATTAGATTAGATCACTTTCATTTTTTGAGCAGAGTAAGATTTAGAAATTAGCAGATAGACAATTTGCTCACATACAAAAAAAAAAAAGACTGATAAACTTTGCACATGGGCGCAGACATTGTTATGGGTGGGAAGTTGGGGAGGTAGGATACAGAAGGGAATTTAATGCCTATTTTAAGCAACGATAAAACGATTCTGATTGTAGTTCAGTTTATATTGTTGTTTTGTCAACAATAAATGTGTCATATTATTGTAACATGATTATAACGATGTCCGTTTTCGTGACAACAATAATTGTTTAAAAAGATTTAAAATAACAAAACAATAAATTAATAATAACAATAAATAAATAAAAACAATTGCCAATGACAACCTTATTTTTTATCTTTTAATATTTTTTAACCTAAAGAACCAGGTTTTGCCCATTATCTCGAATATTAATGAGAATTTCGAACTCTTTAAAGTACCACCTAGAGAATATTTCAGAACCTTAATTTTAATTTACACGAAATCACCGAGTATGGTGTAAAAATAATCATTGCGGATTCTTGATAAAATGCAAAAATTCACCTTGTATATAATATATCCAACAATAATACACGCTTGTAATATTGATTGTCTATACAAAACGCCATCACGAACGATTTTATTTTTCACAACTTTGATTTATTATTTTGAAGTCGTCTCGACCTAGACATCGTCCGTCAATTATATAATGTATTTTCAAGGTATTTTTAGAATAAAATATGGATATCCGTAATAAATGCATGGCGATTGTTTATCTATAATAATAAATTATCACATTTATACAATTATATTAATCAAACAAATGATATTCTGTTCTCACGTGGGTAAAATAATCGTATGCTGCTAAAATAATGACTCATTACTATAGTCGGTTCCATTCAAGACTACTTGTGCAGTATTAGCTATTAAAATAATGTTTGTGTTTAACCATATCAGTGGCGTATTACGGGAAGAGATTAAGAAGATACATATATATATATATATATATATATATATGTATGTATAAAAATCTCCTTGACCTTTTTAAAGTATCTCTGATTTATATGAATATCTATTTTTAAATTTAAATTTCTTCACTTTTTATTCGGAAAATCAACAATTTAATGTGTTGGTTGGTTAGGTTAACCTATAGTTAATGTATCGATAAAATCTAAACAAATATATTACATTTTCTTGTTTGAAACGAAACCTATCGTTCGGATAGGTTTCAATATTAGGAAGCAGGTTAAATAAGTACCTAAATAGTAAATTAATTAATAATAATAACGTACTTAGGTGTACCTAGTTATTTGACGTCAATGGTTATTTTAGGACAGGTTGTATTGTAAATTACTTACAAAAGTATATAAATTCAAGACAATTTTTTTTTCTCCGGGTACACGTTATACAATATGACATAATTCCATATTCAATATTTCTCTTTTAAGCGAGATCTTTAATACGCCACTAAATAATATTGAAAAAATATACGTCCCATACAAGTAAATTATGATGCGCGAAAATGATGGCGAATATTATTTTATTTCGTTTTCATTTATTTTAAATACACAGAATCCTTTAACTGTTTAAATAGTATAATATATCGTCGTTGATCAGAGACTATTTTAAGGAATTATTTTGTCTAAGCGAAATTGCAAAAAAAATTATGGGTTCTGCCACATTACCCCTCCCTCCACAAGTTACTCACAAAATTATAATTTCCTACAAATTTTAAAATTATATGATATATGAAATGTGTATTTTAATTTTGAATTCTTTGTTAATAATACATTTATCCGACCCTTTTTAATTTTATTATCATCGTTTTTAAACCAATCCATAACAAATATATTCTTCTTCTCCTTCGTCTTCATTCCAACTAATTGAGGTCAGTCACCCTCATCTTAAATTTCCATTTAACCCGATGTGGGGTATCGTCCTATTTTATATGATTTTCTCTCATTGAAGTCAAACCTAAACATTTTCTCTATGCTTATTCTCTCATTTCTATTTTTTCATCTACCACCCAATACTCTGAGCCATACAACATAGCCGGTCTCACCACACTTTTGTAGAACTTATCTTTATGTTTCATTGAAATTCTCTTATCACATAAAACAACTAACGTTTCACTTCATCCAAACAAAACTTAATCCTTTGTTTCATATGTTCTTCAAAGCCACCGTTTCTTTGTACAAAAGTCCCTAGGTAATTAAAACTCTCAACGTGGTCTATTATATCACCACTTATTGTCATTAGCTGTATTATCCTATCAACCTTTAGTTCAGGGACGTCATTTGGGGTGGAAGAGCTGGATATGCGGTTGCACTCCTTACTTTTAAAATAATCCCAATTGGTCTGCTGAAATAATGCACCATTTTTTATGCAATTAAAATTAAATTGTATTTTTATAGAAACATTATTGGTATTTTACTGTCGATAAATGAACATTGTGCTATCAAGCAATTGAGTAAAAATTAACAGAATACAAATACAGATAAAGAAACAAAAGATATAGCTTCGTTATAGGGATAGCTTCGTTTTTGAACGGTTAACGGTTTTTATTATTATAATTTTTTTATTTATAAAAACTTTATCAATTACAATGGTATCCCTTAAGATAAATATTTTTATTTTTTTTTGTCAAAGCGATTTGTTTCTACTATTTTTTTACTGCATTTATCATATTCAATATTTGTATG